GCCATTTTATAAGTTTATTCTTCCAATCCATGAGCAGGGGATGTCCTTTCATTTCTTTGTGTCTTCTTCTATTTCTTTTAACGTGTTTTATAGTTTCTTTGTATAGGTCCTTACCTCTTTTGTTAGATTTATTCCCAAATATTTGATTTTTTTTGTTTCGATAATAAAAGGGGTGGTTTTTTTTGATTTTCTTCTTCTCAGATTTATTGTTTGTGTATAGGAAGGCTACTGACTTTTGCGTGTTGATTTTGTATCCTGCCACTTTACTGAATTGATTGATGAGTTGAAATGTTTTTCTGTGGAGATTTTGGGGTTCTCTATGTATATTATCATATCATCTGCAAATAGTGATAGTTTGACTTCTTCTTTTCCTATTTGGATTCCTTGGATGTCTTTCTCTGTCTTATTGCTCTGGCTAGGACTTCCAGTATTATATTGAAAAGCAGTGGTGAGAGTGGACATCCTTGTCTTGTTCCAGATCTTAATGGTTGCTTTCAGCTTTTCACCATTGAGAATGATACTGGCTGTTGGCTTGTCATAGATGGCCTTTATGATGTTGAGGTATGTCCTTGTATCCCAGAATTTCAAGGGCTTTTATCATGAATGGGTGTTGCACTTTGTCGAAAGCTTTCTCAGCATCTATTGATATTATCATATGGTTTTTATATTTCTTTTTGTTGATGTGTTGGATAACGTTGATTGATTTTCGGATGTTAAACCATCCTTGTGCCCCTGGAATGAATCCAACTTGGTCGTGGTGAATTATCTTATGGATACATTGTTGGATTCTGATAGCTAAAATTTTATTGAGGATTTTTGCATCAGTGTTCATTAGGGAGATTGGCCTATAGTTTTCCTTTTTTTGTGTGTCCTTATTCGGTTTTGGTATTAGTGTAATATTGGCTTCATAGAACGTGTTGGTATGTCCCTTCCTTCTCAATTTTTGGAAGAGTTTGTGAAGGATAGGCACTAATTCGTCTCTGAATGTTTGGTAGAATTCATTTGTAAATCCATCAGGTCCTGGGCTTTTGTTTTTGGGGAGGTTTTGATTACCATTCAATTTCGCTGCTTGTAATTGGTCTGTTTAGGTGTTCTATTTCTTCTTTATCTAGCTTGGGGTGATTGTAGAGTTGTAGGAATTTGTCCATCTCCTCTAGATTGTTGAACTTGTTTCCATATAACTGTTCATAGTAGTTACTGATTATTCTTTTGATTTCTGCTGTGTCCGTTGTGATTTCTCCTCTTTCATTTATGATCCTGTGTATTGTGCTTTCTCCCTTTTTTCCTTTGTGAGCCTGGCTAGGGGTTTGTCTATTTTATTGATTTTTTCAAAAGAACCAGCTCTTGGTTTCATTGATCTTTGGATTGTTTTTTTTAGTTTCAATTTCATTTATTTCTGCTTGGTTTTATTATTTCTTTTCTTCTACTGGTTCTGGGGTTTTTTTGTTGTTCTTTTTCTAGATCTTTGAGCTTCGAGATTAGGTTGTTTCTTTGAGTTTTTTCTTGTTTTTTGATGTGAGCTTCTATTGCTATATATTTTCCTCTTATTACTGCTTTTGCTGCATCCCATACATTTAGGATATTGGTGTCCTCCTTGTCATTCAATTCAAAGAATTTTTTAATTCTTCTTTGATCTCCTCGTTAGTCCAGTGGTCTTCCAGTAGTGTGGCTTTTAATCTCCATGAGGTAGGATAGTTCCTTGCCTTCTTTTTATGATTTATTTCTAGTTTGATGCCTTCGTGGTCAGAAAAGATGGTTGGTATGATTTCAATCTTGGTGTATCTGTTGATGTTTGTCTTGTGCCCAGTATGTGATCGATCCTGGAGAATGATCCGTGTGCGCTTGAGAAAAATGTGTACTCCGTTTTTTTTGGGGTTTAGTGTTCTATAGATGTCTGTTAAGCCCAAATGCTCTAGGTCCTTATTTAGAGCTTTAGTTTCTTTACTTATTTTTGTCTTGTTGATCTATCCATTGTTGATAGTGGTGTGTTGAAGTCTCCCACTACATATGTGTTTTCTCTGATGTCTGTTTTCAGAGAGGACAACAGTTGTCTGATATATTTTGGTGCTCTTTCGTTTGGTGAGTATATGTTAATGAGTGTATTTCTTCTTGAAGTATTGTCCCCTTAATCATAATGTAGTGACCATTGGGTCTCTTTTTTTTTTTTGAGTTTGAAGTCTGTTTTATCTGATATAAGTATAGCTGTTCCTGCTTTCTTTTTTGGCCATTTGCTTGTAGGATTGTTTTCCATCCTTTGACTTTGAGCCTATTTTTATCTTTTGTAGCTAAATGTGTTTCCTGGAGACAGCAAAAGGTTGGGTTTTGTTTCTTAATCCAGGCTGCAACTCTGTGTCTTTTTATTGAAGAGTTTAGTCCATTTACATTTAGAGTTAATATTGATATGTTAGCATCTGTATTTGCCATTATGTTTGTCTTTCCTTTGATTTTATTTATTTATTCTTTAAATAACTTTTTTTTTTTGGTCTTCTTTCGTTGTTATTCGTCCTCTGAGGTTCTGGCTTTAGGATTCCTTGTAGTATTTTTTGGAGTGGGGGTTTAGTCGCAATGAAATTCCGGAGTTTCTCTTTGTCTGGGAAGGTCCATATTCTTTCTTCATGGAGGAAAGAGAGCTTTGCGGGATAGAGTATTCTTGGTTGGCATCTGTTTCTTGGAGTCTGTTGACTATGTCCCTCCATTCTCTCCTTGCCCGTAGTGTTTCTTCAGAGAAGTCTGATGTCAGCCTGATTGGTTTTCCTTTGAATGTTATCTGTTTCTTCCCTCTTGTCAGCTTCATTATTTTTTCCTTGTCCTGGATTCTTGGGAGCTTTACTATTATGTGTCTTGCTGTGTTTTTCCTTTCGTCGTGGAAGTTTGGTGTTCTTCTTGCTTCTTGTATATCAATTTTCAGCTCCTTCTTCTCATTTGGGAAGTTCTCTTCAATTATATCCATGAATATTTTCTCTGTTCCTACATCTCTCTCCTCTCCTTCTGGAATTCCTATAACTCTTATATTTCCTTTCCTCATGGAGTCAGATAGTTCCCGAAGTCTTTCTTCATTCTTTTTCCTTCGTACTTCTCTTTCCTTTTCTGTTTTGGTTCTTTTTATTTCTGTGTCTTCAAGATTACTTATTCGTTCTTCCATTTCATCTATTCTGCTTTCATTGCTTTTCCCAGAGTTCTTTAGTTCCTCCATTAATTCTTTGATCTCCTGCATTTCTCTTACTTCCCTCTTTAGGGACTCAATTTCCTTCTTCTGATCTATCACTTTTTAATCATGGCAATTTTAAATTCTCTTTCTGGAAGGCTCAGAAGTTCTCCAAGTTGCTGTCGTTGCAATCTGGGGAGTGGTTTTCTTTTTGTGGTGTGCTTCTTTCCTGAGGAGTTGTTAGGTTGCGTGTGGTTCTTCTACTCCCTACTGTCTGTTTTCTAATTTGTCGTATGCGTTGGGACTGTGTTGCTCGGACTGACTGACATCTTGGGTGAACTTCTCCGCTCCCCTCTGGCTCTTCCAGGAGCCATCTCTGTCTTCTGGGGGAGCTTTCTGCTGGTTTTAGGCAGTTTTTACTGAAGAAATGTCCCTGTTCTCAAATGGCGAAGCGGGATGCAGTCCCTGCGCCTCCGGTTTCAGGCACACTCTTCTGCGCACCCGGTCTGCCCCGGACGTGGGTGCCTGCTCCCTCTGTGGGCTCAGACTGCTGGTCGGAAGGGGCCTGGCGTGGAATAACTTCCTGGCTGGCCACTGGGTCCTCCAGAAACCTTCTGCCCTTTTCAAGCAGTCTTAAGAAATGTCCTGTTTTATAGGGTGTTAGTGACTTTTTTTTTCCTGGTCGCTAGGTGGCGCCAGAGATCTCTCCTATTGTCCTTGGGGGGCTGTTTTTCGCCTCCCCCCACCCCGTGGGACAGAGAACAGAGCGGAATGGTAGGGTACACCTCAACAGCTTTGGGGTGCTGTGCCTGCCTTGTGCCCCACCGTCGTGGAGAAACCACGCCCCGAATTTTCGTGCCCCGGGTCTCAGTTCAAAGCCCTCAGTTCCAGGACGCGGGCTGTAGCCCAGTTCAGTGGCGCGGGAATGGCGCCTTTTGCACAGCTCCGAGCCTGGGCGCCTGGTTCCTGCTCACTCAGGGAGGGACCTTCACCTCAGTGAGGACCTCCGCGCGTCTCCCGCAAAGCCTAGGTCGTCTCCCCGCAAGCCTAGGTCGCAGGCGCGGGGACCTGGGCAGCCGCGATCCAGGTCTGCACTTGCTTTTCAAGCGCGCCGAGGCGCGCGCTTTCCCCGGCAGCTTACCGGCAGCCCGGGCTGTGTGCGTCTCCCGGGTCTTTGTTCTTCTCTAATGGCGCCCGAGCCGTTCGCTCACCGCCGCGGCGGATCCTGCAGGGTTCGCCTCAGCTCCCATTCACGGGGTGTGGTGGCTGCAATAGTTCCTTTCCACTCACAGTCCCGCTTGCTGCGTCGTTTGTTCTTGTTGGTGGTTTTGGTTTGTTGTTTCCTCCTCTCTGCCGGTCGGAGAGTGCCGCCTCTGTGGCGGGGAGGGAGCGGGTTTCTGCGCTTCCCTCCCTTCTAGTCCTCTTTTATGGCCACTTTTCTTCGGGCAGTTTGCTGGCGTCACCCGTTTATCTTCCCTGTCTCGTTCTCACTGGGACCTGCCGCTTTTCCTCCCTATTCACTTTTTTTAATGGAGATCTTACTCGCAGCGTCTCCTCGCCGCCATGTTGCTCCGCCCCCTCCACTAAGTGCTTTTTAAAAGTCACAAAATGATTGCCAGTTTACTGACAAAAATGGGGGGAAATTCAACTTATTTTTTCAAAAAAGAAATAAGAATATGTAAAGTGTATTTTTTTAAAGTTTTTTTTAAGATTTATTTATTTATTTATTTATACAAGAACCGGGGTACAGGCCAGATACGCGGGAGGGTGAGAGGATTCACCAGAGACAGAGCTGGGAACAAAACAGGCAGACTGACGAAATACACTGCTGAGGGGAACAGCGAGACAGGAGAGATCTGTCACGCCATGTGGGACCCTCTCCGGCCGGCTGGGATCGAACCGGCGCTGCAGAGGCTGCGGACAGCTTCACAGCGCTGCACTCAACCGCCTGCGCCACCAGGGGAGGTCCTATAAAGTGTATTTTTAATAGAATGTTTTTGCTGAAACAGCTCTAGTTCCCACGTACTAAGAAAGACTAAACAGTTCCATACACAAAGGTATATTAATGCTGTATAGCGATTCAGGTTTGAAATGATGAGCACTAGAAGTTCTTCAATTTGTGATTACAAGACTATGACTAGCTCAACAATATACACTGTGGTAACATACTGAAATTGTAAACTTGCATTACTGGAAAATAATTTTGGAAATGATTTTGTAATAATTTGAAATAATTATTGGGAAAATTTTTAAATAAATGAGAAGAGGAAATATTAGGGATTGAAGTAGCTTCTTCTGTGATCTGCACTTTTTCACTTTACAAATTTATACAAGTAGATATGTTACCTTTCAAATCTGTTTTGTGGAAGACTGCTAAGTAAGTTACACTATCGATGAAACTAACCAACCTCTGTATGAGTGTTACAAAACACTCCAACCTTACCAGGTTGGCCTATTGGTCCAGGAATCCCTGGTGATCCTGGTGGTCCCTGTACACCTATTCCTGGTAAACCAGGTGGTCCCATTGGCCCAGGGTGTCCATTTGGTCCAACATCACCTGTAAGAAATACAGTTTGTATATTTAAAACAACAGCCAAGTCACTAGTTCTTAGAGACCACAATACCCATGTGAAAAGGCACATTAAGCAGGGATATTAAAAAGTCATCCATTCATTAAGCAAGAAAAGTAGAAACAAGTACTCAGAGCAGGTGGTAGGAATCCATCTTTTGTTACAGACTTATAATTTAAACAAACACTCAACTTCAGTACTTAAATCAACCTCATAAAATAGTACAAAAGATAACAAACTACATATTTCTTTACTTGTAGCTCATCTTGGGCAAGATGAGTTTACACTATATTTATAGATGATTTTTGAGAGTTCTTTATATATTATGGTCAAAACCCTTTGACTTCATTTATTCGGAGTCTCTTTTTGTGTTCTTGAATATATCTCATGTCTTTGGTGAAAAAATTTTTGTTGCTGGAACTCCTTTTTTAAAGACCCTGTACCTGTTTATCTGCCTTTGACTGATCTTCCCGTAGTTTATTTAGCATTTTTAATACTGTTGTTTTAAAGTTTTTGTCTAATACATCCTTTATTTCTGTATCCCTTATTATATATGTCCCAGAATTTCTATTCTCTTATTGCTGTTTCATCTTGTATTCAGATATTCTTTGCCTCATAGTTATGTGTGTTGCTTCATTTGCTTTTTGCATTGGGTTTAGTTTTGTTTCTCTTCTTTATCTTGGTGTGAAGTGGGGGCATTAGGAAAGGGCAGGGTTTAAATACTTGCTTTCAGTCATTTTACAGAGTTTGGGTAGTCATGTCTACCTCCGTTCCTCTTTCCACAGCAAGCTCTGTTCAGTGCTATAGTTGTCCTAACTTCCTTCCCTGTCTCCCCATTGCTCTGTTCTGCTGCACGTCATGCTGTATTCTAGCAAGCTTGAGTGTCCTGGCAAGGGGGCTAGGTGTGGTACATGGAGCTCAAGCTCTGGGTCTCAGATGGCCCTGGCAGACCTGGGGCACCTGAGCAGGCTGTGAGCCCCAATGCCCAGCAATGGCAGTAGGCAATATTCTCCACTGCAGCAACCAATGCAGCTGCTTCCTTGTACATGGGAGGCCCCATAAAGTGTATTTTTAATAGAATGTTTTTGCTGAAACAGCTCTAGTTCCCATGTACTAAGAAAGACTAAGAAGTTCCATACACTATAAGCACTTCTGGACTACAAGCACTTCTTGCCCACTTGATTCTTTCCAGTGGAGTGGCAAGACTACTCTCTCACCAGTTTTCCCCTCTGCTGTTGGATTCATGACAGAGTCCAGCAAAGCTCTGCATAAAGGCTGTTCTCTGATTCTGGGAGGGAGTTGGGGGGAGCTACCCTTGCACATGTGGGCCATGGAACTCCCATCACCTGGGTTAGACATGTATTTACACATGACTATACTCCCTTTCTGAAAAATCCCTCTGGTGAAAACACCATGTTATGATGTGGCTGTGGATGACTTACCTCCAGTCTGGGTGGTCTGGATACCTACTTTCCTGGGTACTCTCCCCTTCCTCCTCCTTTTCCTTCCCTGCAGCAGTCACCAACCTTAGTGAATGTTCTCTGTGAAAAAATCCTGGGATTCCATCAGAGAACTTCTGAATCTGTCTTTGCACATACATATGCGCATATATATTTATGTATGTGTGTGTGTGTATACACACACACACACATACATAAATATGTTTATTTATAGTTGTTTTTAGGGGAGAAGGTAATCTCAAACTCTCTGTTCTGCCACGATGTAGGTGGAGTCAAACAGTATTTATTTTGTTGTATTTTTTGGTCTATCTTCTATATGTCTTTTATTTTCCTATACAGATAATTTCTTAAGGTAAAAAGTTAGGTAATTTATTCAAGACTGTTCTTTTTTTCTAATAAAAGCGTTCCATAAATGAATTTTCTTCTAATCACTTCTTTCTCTGCATTCTACAAACTTTGATATGTTTTATTTTCATTTTCACTTACTTCAAAAATACTTTCTAGTTTTCTGTTGATTTTTCTTAGTCAATGGGATATTTAGAAGTACTTTGGTTATTTTCTAAATATGCCAGAATTTTTACAAATATATTTCTATTTCTGATTTCTTATTAAATCTGGTATGATAAGAGAATCTACTGTAGGATTTCAATATTTCTAATTTGTCCAAGTTTGCTTTTAGGGTAGAGATTATCGTCTTTCATTGTGCACTTGAAAATAATGTGTTTTCTGTTCATGTTAGGTGGAACATTCTATAAATGATAGTGAAGGAGTTGTGTTGAAAAGAAACTCCTGACACTGCCCTGATAGATGACTGTAATCCTATCCTTCTATTCTCCCACACAGAACAAATGCTAAGTATGGACGGACCATGGTAGTTGAATGAGCATGAAAAGTTTAGTTCAGTAGGATTGAATAACACTTGATGTTTGGCAGTGCAATTTGTATTTAGAATTTTACACTTTCTTTATTAAAGAGAGTTGCCAAAATTGTATAATCTTAAGGTGTCAAACAGATCAATCTTTTTCAGTGTTCTATATTTTCTTATAACATTTCTAAAACTACTTTCATGTTTATGACTTCAATTATTTTTAAGGATATACGTGTAGTGGGGATTAACTTAGTTGAGATAATTTATTCAACACCCACTTTTAAAGAATTTATTATTTCCTTATTGACTAATGATGACATTTCTGTAAAATACCAATTTTCTATATATACATGAATATGTTTCTGAACTGTTTCTAACTTGTTTTTTTTTTTTTCCACACTGGTTCACAATGTTAAACTAGTTATAATTTTATAATATATTTAGTGTATGTTTGGTAAATATTAAGTTTCAGAATCAGTTATGTCAAGTGCAACCAAAAAAAAACCTACTTGAATTCTCACTGAAAATGAATTATATTTACAGATAAATTTGGGCAGAGATCACATCACTGAGTCTTCCCATCCATACATGATTTATCATCCAATTAATTCTATCCCTTTTCCAAGGTGTAACCAATACAATCTTTATTTTCTTCTACAAATACATGAGGAACATTTTGTTTTGATAATTTCTAGACATAATATAGGTTTTTTATAATAATTTTCTTTTTTTTTCACTATTTCCAAACACACCAGTCTTTTTGTCTTAATTTCTTTGCATGTTCTTTTCTGATGAGTATTAGTCTTTTAAAATTATTGATCACTATATAGCTTTTAAAGTGTTGCATCAATTTCTCATACAGTTAAATAAGTTCTAATACCCAGTCACTGTTAGAAATATGGTTGGTTTGTGAACTTTTATTGTGATCTCTTTGTTGAGTATTTATTGTGGTCTACAGATTGAAAACATTGAGGGGATATATTTATAAAAGTTCCTGTTGATATAACCAGTATCATAATAATATCACCTAAATTTTCTTACAGAAGAGAGTAATCTCTGAGAATTTCAAGAGCAGAATATACGCCTTTGCATTCCTAATAATTCAGTGTTTGAGGATTAAAGTAATTATATGGCAGAAAATCCCAAAATATTTTTTCTTCTAACGCCTAAGGAACTATATAATGGAGTTTTAGCATTTGAGAAAGATTACTATTAGGATATGGGGCTTCTATACTTACTTCATAGGCAAATGCCTATCAGAAAGTTGACTTTTTATTTTAATTTTCATTTTCTTACAGTGTTTACTTTCCTTTCTCATGTGTTCCCCATAGAATTTCCACCACTAGTTACCCCATGCACCATTACCATAGTTCCTTGTGCTCCTCCCGCCCACATCTTGATCTTTCTCCCCACCCCACCCTTGAAGAATGTCTCTAATTTACAGTTGTCTGTTTTATTTTTGTTCAAAAAGTAGACTTTAATGTATGCTTCAACCCATTTCTTCCCAGCTCATCTCAGGAGCATTTTTATAAACAAAGTACAGTGAGTGTGTAATTTCCACAAGGAGACTGCTTGTCACATAATTCATAAATTGAACATCTCTCTCTGTAGTTTTGGAAGTCATTGATGACAAACACTACGTATAACTCAGCTGGCCAGAACTACTTACTCAAAGACAGAAAGGGTTTGTTTTTTTGTTGTTGTTGTTTTTTTTTTCTTTTTAAAGAGCTTATCTAAGAAGACTTTGTATTAGACTAGTCTGGTGCTTTTGCTGGCAGAACTAAGTCTGATTAAATTGGGGTATGATGTCTTATTGCTTTAATGGGAGTCAGTCCAACATGTTTCAGGAGCATGAAGCTGTTCAGATTACTCTCTGGGGGCAAAAAACACTGACCAGGAGAGTTCAGTTCTTTGTAAACCAGAAAGGAAAAATCAACTGCCAAAACAACTACCTTAATTTTATTCCTATATATAATTTGGGGAATCAAAACCAGAGGTAGAAGACAACAATACAGACATGAGCAAAGAACACGCACAGTTACAGGAAAAACAGGTTTGTCCCTCAAACACATGAGAAGATGGTCATTTCACTTATAAACAGAACTACAAATTTAAACTAACCTGAGAGTAAATGCAAAGGATCTAGTATACCAAAAAAAGGCTTTTTTAGAAAGAACAAAGTTGGAGGACTTATATTATCTGGCATCAAATCTTATCAAAAGGCTACTGTAATACAAACACAGTGGTACTAAAACAGTGAAGGAGATTAAGTAGAAGTGACAATCCAGAAATAGACCCACACATATATAAGTCATTTGATTTTTGACACAGATGCCAAGGTAATCCAATGAGGAGGGGGCTCTTTTAAAGAAAAGATGATGAGCAAAAATTATTTGAAATGGATGGATTAAACATAAAATCTAAAACTATAAAACATAAATTATCTTTGCAACTTTGAGACAGGGAAAGGTTTTTTAGACAAAGTACAGAAAATAATATTAAAGAAACTTGGTAAAAGAAACAGCAATAAAATCAAACTTTTTTGCTCATCAAAATACACAGATAAGAAAATGAACACACAAATCAGATAAGAATAAAATACCCATAAATATATAAAGAACCAGTATGCAAGATATATAATGATCACTTCCAACTTAACAATAAGAACAACTCATCTTTTACAGTGGGGGGATATTTGAATATATCAATAGCATGCAAGTACATGTAAAAGAGCTCAACTTCATTAGGCATCAGGAAGTGCAAACTAAAACCAGATTATGTTAACAATACACTGACCAAAATTAAAATAAAGAGTGATAACGCCAAACTTTGGAGAGAATGTAAAACAACTGAAAGGTTGTTATCATACTGATGCAAGTTTAAAATATCAATAGTACCACCATTTTGGAAAAATGTCTAGTATGTTCTTAAACAACAAACATACACCTATCTTATGACCCAGTAATTCTACTGTTAGATATTTACCAGAATAGAACAATAGCACATATCCATAAAAAGACTTGTAAAATATTGTTCTTAACAGCTTTACTCATAATGGTAGAAAACTTGACATACTCCAGGTGTCCAAGAAAAGAATGGATAAACAAGCTTTGGCATATTTATACAATGAAATACTTGAAAATACCTGATAAACACAACAACATGAATGGATCTCAAAAATACAGTTTTAACTAAATTTAAGAAAATGTAAAACAATGTATTGAAAACAGTGTTTCTCTACCAATATTAGTCTAAATATCGGAACAGGCGTTATTTAATGATCATCCAAAGTTCAGGGATAAGATTAAAAAAATACATCTTGAGTGAAAGAAGTCTTAAAAAGAAATACTCTGATTCCATATGGAGTTCTACAAGTAAATTAATTTACTTGTACACTTGTACACTATACTACTGCTGTGGATGTTAGAGTAGGGACTGAGGAAATGAGCAAAAATAAATTATGGGGTCATACCTCGGTAGGGATTTGGTTACATGGGCATATGCATTGTCATCATCCAGCAAATGTGCACTTAAAATTTGTTCATCTTATTTCATCATATTTAATACAAGGCTGCTATATAAAAAAAATCAAAATCTCTATGTACCGACATGGAGTGATTTCTAGAATATAAAGTTAAATGAATTAAGTAGAAAAAGCCAAAAGGTAGTAAGTATTCTGTCTTTTGAGAAAGGTAGATACTAAAAATATATTTTTTTGCTGACTTGCATTTGTATGAAGAACACTAAAGGAAAGAAAAGAAACTAAAATATGGACACATATAGTATACACACACTATACATATGTATATCCATAATACATACACATTTATATATGTACATATATGTGTATACACATTATATAGATACACATTTATATGTCTATGTATCCAGTTTTATCTTCTTATCTTTCCTTTAGTGTTCCTAGACTAAGCATGGTGAAATATTTAGGGAAAAGTGTACTGTTGTTGCAATTTGATTTAAGAGCATCAAAAAATAAGTTGATGGATAGATTATGTAACAAATCATATATAGTGAGAATGCTGATAATAGAATAACAATGATAGGTATATAGTAGTCACCATAAAATTATTTCTACTTTGTTATATACACTTGAAATTAAAAAAAAAAAAAAAAACGTTCTGACAAAAACAAAAATTTTAATTGTAGATCTAGGTGGTAGATATATGGGTTTCCACTAGATCTTTTAATATTTTGTGTTTGAAAATTTTCTCAATAAAATGCCTAAAATATATACTGAAATTATTTATTTCCATCAGGTTGGCAAAAATCAAAGGGTTTGTCAATATACTCACTTAGCAATACTATGAGGAAACAAGCACACTCATATACTGCTGCTGGGAGTGTAAAGTGGTGCAAATAAAAAGGACTCTGACAATATCTAGAGAGACATTTACCCTTCAATTCAGAAAATCTGTTTGCATTATTCTAATAATACAGCTGTACACATATGAAATAATGTGTATGCAAGTTTATTCACTGAAGAATTATTTCTGATAAGAAAAGATGGATAAATACCCAATTTAGCAACTAGCAACAGCTAAACTCAACTATGGCATACATAAGCAATTTAATACTAGGCTGCTACATAAAAAAATCAAAATTTCTATGTACTAATATGGAGTGATTTCTAGAATATAAAGTTAAATAAATGAAGTGGAAAAGTCAAAAGATAGTACTCTGTCTTTTGAGGAAGAAATATAATAAAAATATGTATTTTTGCTGACTTAAATTTGTATGAAGGAATACTAAAAGAAAGATAAAAAACTAAAAAATTGACACAAAGATGTTTATATATATATATATATATACACACTATACACACACATTTATATGTATATATACCTCCACACACACATTTACAGAGCAACAAGAACAGAGGAATGGAGATGGGGTGAAAACAAGATGTAGTGATACTTTTATGCACATATGACTGTAATATCTATTCAATGAAATAAACACAAAAAATCAATGGTGGATAAAAAACAGTGACAGACTAGCAGCCCAGGCTTCTCAGTTAAATGGACTTATCACCCAACAAACTTTCCCAACACTGGCAATTTCTATAAAAGTTAAAACAAATTGTGAATAAGCAACAGCCTCCATACCTTTTGTTCCAGGTAGCCCATCCAAGCCAGTGTGTCCAGGAGGACCTGGAGGTCCTGGGAAACCACGATCCCCTTTTGGGCCAAGTGTCCCTTTGAAACCTGGGAGCCCAGGAGGCCCAGGCGGTCCAGGCAGACCAAATCCTGGTTCCCCCTTGAACATACATAACAAAAACATAACAAAACATAATAAAAATTCCCATGAATTTCTTGCAGTTTATTGTTTACCATAGAGAACTTAAAGCAGAAAATATAAGGTAATACATTTTTTCCATTGGGGAAGGGGGTAGGATAAATAAGGCAAAGTAATGGGCATGCTGGAGAGAAAGAACATCTGGAAGAATGGGAAACAGAGCTTAGTAAAACAAATAAAAAACAAATTAGATGAACCGGACTGGTTTCAGGACAAGAAAAGATAACTGAGAATGAGTAGTCTATCAAAGTGAGGAAATGTGATAATGGAGTGAATATTAGATGATTATTTCTAATTTGACAAGGTATAATGATGACATTGTGTTTTCTTTTGTACAAAATGTGAATTTATTTAGAGATAAATATTGAAGTATTTATAGGTGGAAAGCAATAATTTCAAGATTTGGATTAAAATACTTCAGCAGAGAGAAAAGGAACAGATAAAGTAAGTGTGGTAAAGTCTTGAAAATTTTGAATGTGGTTGGTGGATATATGAAAGTTCAATGTATTATTCTTTTCACTTTTGTGTTCATTGGAAAAGATTCATAATAAAATGAAAACAATCATGGGGTAGTGGTTTCTCATGAGAGCTGAGGACATGGTCAGTAGTTCTTCTCATGGAAAAAAGTAATGATACACAGGGAAGTTTTAATTAAGTGCAGGGAAAATACAGGAACATTCAAGATAATTACATATCACATTATAGCTGTTTTCCGAAAGTTGACTGAGGAAAATGTTACATTAGCTAATATAGAATAAAAGGAATAAAAAGTAACTCAAACACATTGCTGCTGCTGCTACTACTACTACTACTACTACTACTACTACTACTATTACTACTATTGTTAAGTAACAGTGACTTGCATTATGTATCTTGGAAGGAACTGGGACACAGAAACTATGTGGAAAGTGCCTGACATGATAGTCAACACCAACTCAAGCAATCATTACACAGGGTTGGACAGAGAACAAATGTGGCCTCTTCATGGACTATTAAAGAATGTTTTGTGCTAAATATATTTAAATATTTAAAGTAAAAATATATTAATTGTTAAGTTTAGTTATATAATGAAGACTAGGATTAAAGTACAAGTCAAGACAGAGATCTATGGCTAAAAAAGGTAGGGGAGATAGGAAAATGGAAAAAAATAAATTAAAATGTCCCAGACCTTTGGTCCTGGAAATCCTGGTGGCCCAGAAGGACCTTCTAGACCAACACTCCCAGGTCTCCCAGGTGCTCCTGGAGGCCCTGGGATTCCAGGAAAACCTGTGAAATAATAAGACATTGTTAAATCTCCAAAGAGAAGACACTTTAAAAGAGATACCAATACTCGCAAACTGCCAATTTAATCGTATCTAATCATGCTTAGTGACTATAATACGATGTCAAAACCAAAATGGCATTCTGAATGACTACTTAGGATCAATTCCTATATATATCTGATGTTCTCTCTAAATTACCTTGTGATCCTATCATTTTCACATAGGGCTAATGTATGTAGAATGTATACTCATCTGAAAGAAGATCTATAACATAATGAGAAAGAATTAAACATAAAGAATGAATCCCCCCCAATGCAGTAAAAAAATGTTATCTGTTCACATCTTGATAAAGTATGAAGAAACACAATTGACAATATTACATACACCTCTACACAATTAAATAAAACCTGATACTTTTGAAGTCATTAAGTAAGGACATGTTTAAGAATTGTCCTCAGACCAAAGTGCTCTCTTGACTTTCATATAATAAATTGTATCAGCAATGAAGAACTGAAGCAACAATCACCAAAATTTTCAGTAAGTCAAGAGATTATGATTTGGAATAAAATTGTTTGGATACATGTGTGCATCTGTTCTCTGTTTAATATAATCCATTCATTAAGCAAATAACTTTTCATTCTTACTATGTGCCAGTACTGTTCTAAGCCCTGATAATAGCAAATACAGAAGACAATAATTATTGTTTGCCCCACCAGGAGCAACAGCAGCACCGGACCCTAGCAAGTTCCCTGGACAAGTGTGTGGGGTAGAGACACACCCAGCAGAAACCCCAAGGACAAAGGTACAGTCCTGTTAAGCTCCCTGAGTGAGAGTGGGAGCAGATCTGTCCCAACAGACACACTACTGACATCAGGTTGTCTTACTAAACACTAGGAAGGAGATGAACCCACAGTAACAGACCCCTTCCCACTGCCACAGTCAAGAACACTACCCACTAACTGAAAACCCAGTTATAGATTAGCTCTCCAAAACATACAGTGTCACATATTGGAAAAGAACTTCTGTACTCTCAATTGTTAGAAAGCAAATAATGGGGAGTTGAAAAAACACAACAAATAGTAACCTGAGTGCAAAGATCAATACTACACCACAGAGAGAAAATAAATCTCCAGAACTCAATCACAGACATAGGACACCTGTTCTTTCTATCAGATAGAGTTCAAAATTGCTATAAACAAATTCAAAAAAATGGAAGAAAACAGAGAAGACACAGAAAAATTCATCAAAGATAGACAAGAAATCTCAGAAAAACAAATGAATGTCCTCAGAAACAAAATTAATGAATATGAATAGATGCTCAAAATTGAAGCTTTAAATGAGAAAATAACAGGGTACAGGGTGTAAAGGGATCAATACAGCAGCTGAAAAACTCTGGAGGAAGCTATGAAAGTAGAATAGACCAAAGGGAAGAATAAGTCAGTAACCTTGAAGGTAAGAATGCACAAAGAATCCAGGTGGAAGAAAAAAGAAATTCAAGGGGGAAAAAAAAGGAAGAAATATTTTGAGAATTATCTGACACCATGAGGAAAGGCAATATAAGAGTAATTGGAATCCTGGGGTGGGGGGAGGAGAGAAAAGGGGACAGAGACCTTATTTAAAGAAATAACAGAGGAAAAATACCTAATCCTGAGAAAAGAACTAAATATAGAAATCCAGGAAGCTGAAAGAAAACAGGGTGCCTAAACAAAATGAGACCTACACAAAGGTACAGTAGTAGTAAACTTTACAGAGTTCCTGAAGACCTCTCTGAAGACACACTATGGGCTAGAAGGAAATGGAATGATATGATGATGCAACCTCACTCTGGTAAGAATGGCTCATATTAAAAAATGGGTAACAACAAATGCTGGCAAGGATGTGGAGAAAAAGGAACCCTTTTACACTGTGGTAGGAATGCAAACTGGTCCAATCACTATGGAAAGCTGTGTGGAGGACTTGCAAATTACTAAAAATGGAGCTACCACATGACCCAGCAATTCCACTCCTAGGCATCTACCCAAAGGATACAAGAGCATTAATTCAAAAAGAAACCTGCACTCATAAGTTTATTGCAGCACTATTTACAATAGCTAAGATATGGAAACAACCTAAATGTCTAAAAACAGATGACTGGATTAAAAAGAGGAGGTAATATATATATATATATATATATATATATAAATATATTTATTTATTTATACACACACACACACAATGGAATACTTGGCCATCAAAAAAGATAAAGTCATGCCATTTGCAGCTACATGGATGGAGCTGTAAGGGATTACGCTCAGTGAAATAAATCAGAAGGAAAAAGAAAAATATTGCATGGGCTCACTTATAGGAGGAATATAAGGAAACGGAACAAAGGGTCAGAGGGGAAAAAAAGACAAAAGCAGCAGGAAAATTATACCTCTGAGACATATAGGAGGGGAGGGGTAGAGAGGGGTTCAGAACAGGGGAGGGAAGACCACATGGGACTATAGTAATGGCTGACGGGTGAAGTGGTGATGGGAGATTTACAGGGATTACATCTGAGGGGAGAATCAAATATTGAACAAAAATGAACAATGATGCAAGAAAAAAATACTTAAAATAAAAACTTCCAATCAAGAATACGCTATCAGATATGAGAGAAAAATAAAGGCCATCTCAGACAAACTGAAACTGAAGGAGATTTTAAACTCTAGAACCCCAATGACTAAATATTGTAAGGAGCTCTGGTATCTAAACCAAAAAGAGGAACATACATAATAAATGAACAAGGAAATAGAAACACAAAATGAAGGACAAAATGGCAGAAATGAAGTTTTATGTATCAATAATTACTCTAAATATAACTGAACTTAACTCACCAATTAAAAGGCAAAATGTGTCTGGTTGGATTAGGAAAGAGAATGCAACTTTCTTCTGTCTCCAAGAAATGCACCCAAATTCCAAAGATAAAGATAGATTCACAGTAAGGAGGTGGAAAACTGTTTTACAAGCAAATGGAACCCAAACAAAGGCAGGGACAGCCATCCTCATATCTGATGAAATAGATATTTATCTAACAAAGGTAACAAGACACAGGGATGGACACTATAAAATGATTCAAGGAAAAATATATCAGGAATAAAGACACAATAGCCTTAAACAAAAGCTAGACCACATAGGCTTCAATATATATTTATAGGGCACCGTGCCCCAAAACAGCAAAATACACATTTTCTCAAGGGCACACGGGACATTCTACAGAACTTAACCACTTATTGAGTCACAAGATAAGAATCAACAAATTCCTGAAGACTAAAATCATACTAAGCCTCTTCTCTGACCATAAAGGTATCAAGCTAAAATTCAACTACAAAAAGAAAGCAGGAAAAACCTATATGTAGACATTGAACAACACATTACTGAATGACGATTGGGTAAATGAAGAAATCAAAGAAGAAATCACAAAACACCTTGAGGGCCCCCTGGGTGGCGCAGGGGTTAAAGACAGCACTATCAAGCTACTGCCAGCTACTAGAGCATGAGTTTGATCCCCAGCCTGCCAGGGTGCTAACCCACATGGTGCAGCGGACCTCTTCTGTCTCACCCACTGCTCCCCTCAGCAGTGTATTTCAGTAGATCTGCCTCTTCTGCTCCCCACTCTGTCTGGTGAATCCTCTCACCCCCCACACCTCTGGCTTACACCCCAGTTCTTATATGCATAAATAAATAAATCTTTGGAAAAAACACCTTGAGACAAATGACAACGAGGCCACAATCTTCCAGGCCTTATGGGACATAGCAAAAACATTATTTAGAGAGACGTATATAGCAATAAAGGCCCACAACAACAAACAAGAAAGAGGTCAAATAAATAACCTTATCTCTTAACTCAAGAAACTGGAAAAAGAAGAACAAACATAATCAAAAGCCAGGAAAAGAAAGGAAATAATAAAAATAAGAGCAGGAATAAGTGAAATAGAAATAAAAAATTGACAGTCCACAAGATTAAGGAAATCAAAAGTTGGTTTTCTGAAAAAATAAGCAAAAAGGGAGAAAATTCAAATAAATAAAATGAAAAATGAAAGAGAAGTTACAAATTCAGAGGATAACAAGAGATTAATATGAACATTTGTATGCTAATAAGTCCAATAACCTAGAAGAGATAAACAAATTCTTAGAATTATATAACCACCAGAGATTGAATAAACAGAAATCCTAAATAGACCAGTCACAAGCAAGGAAATTTAAACAGTAATTAAAACTCTCACAAAAAATAAAAGTCCAGGAACACACAGCTTTACCAAACTTTCAAAGATGATCTAATCCTATCTTTTTTCAAACTCTTTCAAAAATTGAGAGAGAATACCTCCAAACACATTTTATGAGGAATCATTACTCTAATACTAAAACCAGACAAAGACAACACACAAAAAAGAAAACTATAGACCAAATTCCCTAATGAACACAGACATAATAATTCTCAATACAATCTTAAAACTTAATCCAACAATGCATTAAAAGGATTATATGCCATAACCAAGTGGGATTTGTATCAGGGACAAAAGGATGATGCAACATCTGAAAATCAACCAATAAAAGAAAGATAAAAGCCATATGATCATATCAATAGATGTCAAAAAAGCATTTGAGTGGGTACAACTTTCATTTATAATGAAAACCCTAAAAAAAAAAGGTAAGTGGGACATATCTCAACATAATAAAGGCCATATATGACAAACCCAAAGTTAGCATCATTCTCAAAGGTAAAAAACTAAATACTTTTACACTAAGATCTGGTACAAGACAAGAATATGCACTGTCATCTCTATTATTCAACATAGTATTGATATTCTAAGCTAGAGCATTCAGGCAATAGAGAGGTATAAAAAGAATCCAAATTTGGAAATAAGAAACTATCACTACCTGCAGACAACATGATAATATACATAGACAACTCTAAAGACTACTATAAAACTAATTGAAAAAAAAATCTGTTCATCAAAGTGCCAGGTTTCAAAAACAATACATAAAAACCGGTTGCCTTCCTATACACAAATAATTAGCCAGAAAGGAAGAAATTAAGGAAACAATCCCATTTATAATTAAGCCAAAAATAATTAAATACCTTGCAGTGCACTTAACAAAGAAAACTATGAGACAAAGTTTTAAGAAATAAACAAAGTCACAAAGAAATAGAAAGATATTCCCAGCTCATAGACTGGAAGCATAAACATTGTCAAAGTGGACATCCTAATCAAAGCAATATAGAGATTAAATGTAATCCTGACAAAAATAGGAGAGAATGGCAGCATCACACATCCAGATTCAAACTATACTACAAAATCATAGTAATGAAAATGGTAGCGTAATGAGACAAAACCGGACACACAGACCATTACAGTAGAATTGAGACCCTAGAAATAGACCCACACCTATATGGACATTTAATCCATGACAAACAAGCTAAGAACATACACTGAAACTAGCAAAGCCTCTTCATTAAGTGGTGCTGGGAAAACGTAGTCACATGTTAAGGAATGAAAGTAGACCTGTATCTCACACCATACACAAAATTTAATTCAAAATGGATAAAAGACTTGGATGTTAAGACCTGAAACCATAAAATACACAGAAGAAAACATAGGCAAAACACTCTACAACATAGAATTCATTTCTCCCCAGCAACAAGGAAAACAAATGGGAAAATAAATAATTGGGACTAGATTAAACTAAAACACTTCTACAGAATAGAAGAAAATATCCCAGCAGGGCGGCCCCCTCTTACACTGTTAGTGGCAATGTAGACTGGCCTAGCCCCTATGGAAAACAGTATTGAGGTTTCTCAAATATTAAAAATGGATTTCCCATACAATCCAGCAATTCTACTACTACGTATCCTTCTGAAGAATGCAAAAACACTAATTCAAAGGGAAATGTGCAATCCCATGTTAACTGAAGCACTGTTTCAATAGCCAAGCTATAGAAAACTATGTGCCCAAATACAGATGACTGTATCGACATGATGTGGTATTTATGACAATGGAATACTAATCAGCTATCAAAAAGATAAACATTTGCCATTTGTGGAAACACAGAGAGAGCTGGAGGGTATTATGCTAAGCAAAATAAGTCAGAAGGAGAAAGACAAATACCAGATGATGTCACTATATGTGGAATAGAGAGAAACCAAAAAAAGGGATCAAATAAAGCCAAACTAATAACAAACCCTAGAAAACAGACTATAAAACTAAGGCTACTAGAAGCGGAGGGGGAGGGGTGAGAGCAAGGTGGTGATGGTGCACAATGCACTATGATGGTGGACAATGTGTGTTTTGGTTGTACGTTGTGTTGTAACAACACCTGAGGGGGAAGATCTATACTTCTAAAACACAAACAATACTATAAACCAATGTAAAGTCATTAAAAAATAAAATAGAATAATTCTTGTGATTTTTTAAACGTACATATAATTTTTGCATATCTTTGACCCAGATATTTTGTTATGTGTAGTGTTTTAGATAGTCAATAAAATTATAGTGCATCCATGATGTAATTTTTCATTTACATTCTTTTTTTAAGACCCTATTTATTTATGCATACAAGAGCTGGGGTACAGGCCAGAGATATGGAGGGTGAGAGGATTCACCAGAGACAGTGGGAAACAGAACAGGCAGACTGACTGAAATACACTGCTGAGGGGAGCAGCGGGCGAGACAGGAGAGGTCTGCCTCACCATGTGGGTTTCTCCCTGGCTGGCCGGGGATTGAACTCGTGCAGCAGAGGCTGCTGACAGCTTCAGAGGTTGCGTCTTGATGCTTGCGCCACCAGAGAGGCCCTTACATTCTTCATATTACACAGAAAGTATAAACAATAATTGCTTCCTGAATACACTATATCAAAATTATAATATTAACCAACTAAACTATCCTCCCTGTTACCCAGCCTACATACCTTTGGGACCAGGTGGTCCAGTACGTCCAATTCCAGGGATACCTGGTTCTCCTTTGCTACCGGGTATTCCTGGCAAGCCTGGTTGGCCTGGGAGTCCAGGGTCACCTATGGAGAAAGGGCAGTTTTTTCTTGAGAGGGAAATGTGCCAATAAAAAAGTCAATAAATGTTAAAGATGTGATAAATAAATTCTCCATATACCTGGAAGACCCACTTCACCATCTCTTCCTGGGTTACCGGGCAAGCCTGGTTTCCCTGGTTGGGTTATGGTATGACCTGGATCACCTTTAGGACCTAAGAAAAAGGGATTTAATAGTGAAAGAGATGTGTTCACTAGACTAATGATCTCTAATTAAAAATACTAAAGGCAATTTATAGACAGTCTTCTGAAAATGCATAATAAAAAAATCCACAAGAAAAGCCTATTCAAGGATGACAGCAAGCATTCAAATTGATTTCTGATCATTAAAGACATCATACAGAAAGTGAAAATAGTAAGCCATAATGAGTGAAGGTTTTGCAAAATTAAATAGCTAACAAATAACTAAAACGGAAAACTCAAATTCCTCTAAATCAATAAGACAAAGAAACAACTCAATTGAAATAATTCAAATATTCAAAACATTTGAATAGGCATTTCACAAAAGGAAATTCAAATGGCCAATAAACATATGAAAAGGTTCTAAACTTTAATGTAATCATAAAACAGCAAAAAAAAAAAAAACTGCCAAGAGATATATCACACTCAATAAAATGGCAAAAATGTGAAAGTTTGACATTACAAAATATCTATGAAGATGTAGATTAACAAGTAATGTCTAATACTGCTTGTGGGAATATAAATTGGTGCAATTAATCAGCATAGCTTGGAATTATCTACTAAACCTGGAGATGTACTCATTAATACCTCAAAAATTCTTTTGTGTGTCATATAATCTCTGTAGCAACTACTCAACTCTACTATGGTAGCACAAAAGCAAGCATAGACAATAGTGAATGGGTGTGGATATATTCAAATAAAAGTTTCATTTATGCAATGGATGATGGACTAGTTTTGGTCCACGGGCCATAGTTTGCTGATCCTTGCCCCAGAGAAGATGTACACATGTATATTAGGATGGATATACAAAAATATACATAGAAGCATCATAGACAGTAGGCCTGAACTATAAATATAGTAGACCCCCCCCCACCCCCGGAGGATAGAATCCAATCCCAACTGGATGCCTAAAGCCATGGACAGTACAGAACCCTATATATACACTACACTTTTTTGTATACATCCATAACTAAAAGACAGTTTGATTTAAATTTAGGCATGGTAAGAGATTACAAACAATAACTAATAATATAATAGGGCAATTATAACAATATGCTGTAATAAAAGTTATGTGAATGATTTCTCTCTCTCAATATCCTATAGTAGGTATTATTTTCAGATAGTGGTCGACCGGGGGTAACCTAGTCAGGGTTTCTCTCTGAAACTGCAGAGAGAAAAAAGCCTCAGATAAGGGGAGACTACTGTAACTCAACTATCAATTAACAATACAATGGGTAAATCAATTGTAACACACACACACACTTATACAAATACTACACAGCAATGAAAATGAATGTACTATAGTTACACACAAAGTTAGCATAAAGAATACTTACCTATGAGTCCATGAATATGGAGTTCCAGAAGAAACATAATCAAAATACTTTGTTTATAGATACATATCTAGCTGGTAAAGCTAGAGAGTAAATGGAAGGAAATTAAGCAGAAGTGGTTACATTTAGAGAGATGGAAGGGGATTGTGACAGGGAAGACAGAGGAAGATGGTGGTTTCTAGGAGACTGGCAATGTCGTTTCTTAATATGTGTTAGTTGCATGTGTGTTTCCATTATAATTGATTGTTAAACTATGCATTATGTATCATGTACTTAAAAAAAAAACAGAAACAGCAAAATTGAAGACAGAAAAAATTTAAACTCCCCTTTAAAAAAAAATACATTGTTTTTCCTTGCTAAGGAGTTCTGTAAACAATAACTAATGGCCAGGGAAACACATCTTTCATGAAAGGAATGGGCAAAAAAAATAAGCATTTCTGCTTTTAATCACTAAATTAAAAATAAAACATCTGTAGTAAACTCACCTGGTATTCCTGGCTGGCCTGGATTTCCTGCCACACCTTGTATGCCTTTTTCACCTACTGGGCCTGGAGGGCCAAAACCAAGAGGGCCCATTGGCCCCCTATTCCCTGGGAGACCTGGTAAGCCAGGGTTTCCAGGAGGACCTCTTTCACCCTTAAAAGCAATTCCACCCTGTAAAGGAAAAAGTTCAATACAGAAACATATAGATATAACAGCTACCTATAGGTTGGTATTACTGAATACAACTAGAGAAATTATACAGCCAAATAGTTCTTTTTAAAAGTTTTATGTACAAGTTATTTAGCATGGTATTGTATGATCACTCCACTTAATCATTCTTTCAACAGATATTTTTGAGTTTCTATTATATGCCAAGAACTGGTGATACAGAAAAGAATGAAAATAGACAATACCACTACCCTTCCCTCATGAAGCTTACAAGACGTTTACAGTCTAGCTAACATTTTATAAAATATCACTTCCCATAGAAATACTAGGCTGTGTAATGTCCACAAAATAAAACTGTTCATTTATGGTTAGTCATTAGGTTCTGTGATATATTTAACATGGCATCTACTCAGACTAATCTCTAAGCTTATTATAGATAAAAAAAAAAAAACAAATTAGACTTTTGTTGTCAGTTCTAAGTGAAGTGGGTTAAGTGGGGTAACAGAAGGGGTACCTCACACTGACCCATATGCATCTTAATTTCTTGCCCACCTATTCATAGTCAATATTAATATAGTAATGGGTTAACAAAGAAGGAATTTATAAAATGATTGAGTAGAAAGACTGGTAAAGAAACCCTAGTCAGTAATAATGTAACCATTACTATGTATAATCACATTCTTTTTAGCATTGAATATCCCTAAGTAACAACTTGACATCACAAACCAAGAATATCAAACCAGCTTACAGGTTCTCCTTTGGGGCCAGAAAGACCTGGCAATCCATCCTTTCCAGGGGTGCCAGGTAAACCAGGCAGCCCTGGAGGACCAGGGGAACCCAACTCTCCTTTGTCACCCTTCATTCCTGGAAAAGTGAGGATGTCACCAGGTTCACCTTTAGAGCCAGGAAAACCTGGAGCACCTGGAGCTCCTGGTGTACCCTGAAAGAAAGAAAAAGAAAATCAGTTTTTCGAACATTTTCTCTCTCCAGTTTATTTGATCAACCCACCCAATAAGATTTAGTGTACACAGCAATGAATCCAGTGAGGTATGTGAATCAAATAAATCACAATTTAATAGAAAACCTAAATTTCTTTTATATCTATATCCACAAGTGAAAATTAAAGTATAAATGGCTTCCTTTTACCTTTGTTCTATAACATACTTGAAACTTACCATTAATCCTTTGGGACCAGTTGCACCAGCATGTCCTTTTTCACCTTTCTGTCCAGGGAAACCAACAGATCCTAACACACACACACACACACACACACACACACACACACACAAGACAATGTGAACTTTGAGGTTGAACCCCTGACAACGTTTATATAAAATTCAGCAAGTCAGGAAGTAAAGTTTCAAAATAAGAAGTCCATTTAATTCATTTTAACAAGTCACATTTTCATTTTCCCATTTTACGCTCCCCAAATGAGGAAGCCATCTGTTCATCTAAGTAATCTAACATTTAATATTATATCTTTAGCTACTTTCAACTCCAAAGCCTCTCAGAGCTCTCAGGTACCAAGTAGTATGCACAGAGCTGTTTAGGCTTCCATAACCATACCATTACAAAGGAGAGAAAGAGGTAAGGACAAAGTCTGCATATGCATATCTTTCTTTGTTATGACCTCAACAATGTTTGCAGAGCCTTAATATTCCTTTCTTTGGCTTGTTGCTCCCTAACAATTTCCTTTATGAGAAGCATTTGGTAGCTAGACCAGAGGAAATAATAATGCAGTTATTCTCAAAATGGGCCCCTGGACCAGATGTATCAGTATCACTTGGGTACTGGTGAATTCTTGGGTATCACCTGGGTACTGCGAATTCTTGAGCCCTTCCTCAGATCTATGGAATCAAAAACTTAGGCAGTAGGGCCCTCTAGGTAACTCTGATACACTCTCAAGTTTGAGAACATCTAGACTGGAGGTACAATGCTAAATTATTAACTTCCAGTATCATCTACACAACATGGTGAAAAAATTATTTCTAAGCATCAAACGAATTGGTTTCATTGATAAGCACACTAGACAGAACGGTAAAGGATCTGTTGTCTAGTCTTAGCTCTGACACAGACATAAAGTGTAGTTTCAAGAGAATATAACATTGGGATATACCAAGAGGCAGAAATAGTTGAGTTTGAAGGACATCAAAAGATCTTTTGATTAGAAATGGGGAGGTAAGATTTATACACAGAGAAGAATATTGGCATTTGAATTAGAAGTTCTCAATTAGAAGTTCTGTTCCTTAATGACAACATGTGATACATTCCCAATGAGTAGAACCTCTGTCACTGGAAACTATACTCAGGACTAGCATCAAACTTCTCCCTAGTTTTCTGGAAGAAGGAAGTCTATCTCTTTGTAAGTTATTTTCCTCATTATGTGGAAAACAGGGAAGGTATTTTTCCTGGAATAATATTGTCAGCACCATGCTAGAAAATGTTGGCAGTTTCAAGTATTAGAACCAAGAGCCTAATTTATTTACTTCATAGAAGACAGAGGCATTTCATATTTAATTATTTATGGAAAGTGACTAGTTACATAATGAAAAATTGTTATCATTCTAAAATTACAAGCTGACTAAAATCTATCCAAAAAATATTTTAAAAGGTTGCCTTGAGACAATGTTTTACCTGGAGGACCTGGAAGACCTGGCAAACCAGGTTGACCTGGAGGTCCTGAAATACCAGTTCCAATGCAGTTGAAACACGTGTCACCCTTTTCACCTAGGAAAAAAACATAATAAAACAAATGTTACTGAAATTATTATATCTATCTTTTTTAAATAGGTTCTAAAGTTAGCACTAAGGGACAACACTCTTACCTAACAGTGTAGTTAGAGAAACCTAAGTCTAAAACAAATTTGTTTGATAAAGATTGATTGAATGCCTACCATGTGTGCCAAACACTGTTCTAGGTGTTTGTGATACAACAGTAAACAGAAAAAATTTCATGACTTTACAGTTCTCACCTTCCAGCAGTAGAAAGGGACAAAAAGCAATGAAGGGAAGACATTAGATGTGTGTGTGTGTATATAAAAAATGTGTATAAAAAATGTATACACACATACATAAAAACATATTTTATATATACATATATAAAATACATGTATATTTATATTTATATATCAGCATATATAATGCATGTAATATATATATAAATATATAGCTACTATTATATATATATATATATATATATAGGTGTTATAGGAAAAACAGAGCTGAGTAAATTGGTTTGGAAATGTTAGGGATGGGTGAAAATATGGCATGATTAAAAAAGCTTAAAGGATGTGATGTGTACGTAACAAGTATAAAGTATTCTAGACAGAAAGATTAGTCACTTGGCATATACAAGGGACATCACAGGTAAGATTGCTGGAGCAAAGTGAGGAAGAAGAATCAGGTGAGACTGTTAAACATCATGTAACATTGTAAAGACTGGCTTTTATTGAGTGAAAGGAGAATCTATTAGTAGAGTTAAAACAGAAAAGCAAAGTGATGTGACTTTTTTAAAAGCATATATTTGGCTATTATGTTAACAACAGACTCTAAGTGCAAGGATAGAAACAAAGTAAACATTTAAGTGGCTACTGCTGCAGAGATCTAGGAGAGATTATAGCTCATCCCAAAGTAACAGCAGGGAAGATGATGAGACTTGGTTAGATTCTGGATATATTTGAAAGTATAGCTAATGGGATTTTCTCATGGATCATACATGGCATTACAAAAAGAAGAGGGGATGAGCCCAAGGTTCTTAGGCAAAGCAATGGGAAAGCTTAGAATAGCTTTCTTTTTAGTAAAAAGGAGGAAGATATGAATGGAATGATTATGAGGGAAGTGGCAGAGATCAGGATTTCAACCTGATTTGGACATAAATTTCCAAATACTGACTAGATAATTGACAAAATAATCAAGAGGAAAAGAGTAATCCAGACAAGGGAACATACAAACATTAAAATGGAAATTGGATGTCATATACAAGATACCTAGTGTTATCAAACTGAATGAATGAATTCACATACCAAAATTAAAAATTGTATAGATAATTCTAGCATGCATGTGAAAATACAAACTAAGTCAAGACTTACTATAAATTTATAATAATATAAACAGGTGCCAAGCTGAAATAAGTAGAATGTAACAAAATAGAGGGATCAGAAATAGATTCACACATATACAGTTATTAAATGTATAATAAAAGTGCTAAGGCGGTTCTGTGAGCAAATGATAGTCTTTCGTGCTGTGGTATTAAGTCAAACGGATATTCATGTGGAAAAAAAGAACTTTTTCATTGCTTCAAGCTATACACAAAAATTAAATGAACATAGATCAAAGATCAAAACATTACAGGCAAAATGATCAAGCTTCTAGAAGAAAACAAAGAGGAACATTTTCTGATACTTGAGATAAGCAGATTTCTAAAACAGGGTGTTAACAGCACTGATCACAAAAAGAGACATTAATAATCAGATTTCTTTTAATTAATAGCTTATGTTGAAAAAAAAAAACAAGTAAAATGGCAAGTCACAGAATGGGAGAAGGTAGTTGTGATGGAAATTAGAAGTCATATACAAGGAATTTAGTGTTATCAAACTGAATGGATGAATTCACATACCAAAATTAAAAACTGCATAGATAATTCTAACATGCATATGAAACGACCATAATATCCAAGGCCCAATTAAAAATACAAAAAAGGCAGACACTTTGCAAAGGTAATATACAAACAATAGGAAAAGAGGCTCAGCATTAACAAGTCATTAGGGAAATAGAAATTAAATCTTTTTGGAAAATGGTTTGGTGATAACTATGGAAAAAAAACCTACACATATATAACACAGCAACTCCATTATCAGGTATATACACAACAAGAATAAATACTTATGTACTATAAAATATGTATACAAATATTCATAGAGCTTTACTCATAATAGTCTCAGACAAAATGTCCGTTAACATTAGAATGGCTGTGGAGGTTTAGTTCCATAATGAAATACTAAAGGGCAGTGAAAAATACTACTACAAACAAAATCATTGATAAATCTCATAGACATAATATTGAGCCAAAGAAAGCAGACACAAAAGATCACATAAGATCACATTTATACAGAGTTCAAAATTAAGCAAACTAATGTATGACAGGGGATAAAATAGTGGCTACCTTTGGGAGTGATGACTAAGAGTCACAAGAGAGTCTCCTAGAGTTCTCAAAAAAATTCTACATTTTGATTAAGATGGTAGTTAATATACATAACATTTCAGGGACATATGAAGAATAGCAGGAAATGTGAAGTACTAAAAACCAAAAGAAGAAAGTTAAAGGGAAAAATCAAGTAAGAAAAGGATTGAGACTTGACATTTGGATTAGCACGTTATAGACTGCTAGTGACTTTGACAACTTAGCATCTATAGAGGGGGGGTTGGAGCAGGGGGAGTCAAATTCTGATTGGAATATGTTTAAAAGAAACTGAGAGAAAAATATGTAGAGACAGCAAATAGAAAATGTTTGAGAAGTTTTGCTGCAAAAGGGAGCAGAGGAATAGAGTAGAATCTGGCAGGGGAAGGAAGATTCTGATAAGATAGATTTTAGATGAGTGAAAAAGTATATTTGGATGAGGCTGGAAATGATCAAATAAAAAAGGAAGAACTGATGTTGGAGAAGCAAGAATTCCTGGAATGAAATTCTTGGGGAAAACAAGAGGGAACAGATTTTTTTTTGTTGTTTAAAGATTTATTTTTTATTTATACAATAGCTGGGGTACAGACCAGAGGCACGGGAGGGTGAGAGGATTCACCAGAGACAGAGTAGGGAGCAGAACAGGCAGACAGACCAAAAGCACTGCTGAGGGGATCAGCAGGCACTATAGGAGAGGTCTGCCGCACCATGTGGGTATCTCCCTGGCCAGCCGGAGAGATAGAATTGAGAGCCCAGAAATAAAATATACAGATATACAGAAAAAATACACACATATACAGAGAGTTAATCTATGACAAAGAAGCGAAAAATAGACACTGGAACAAGGAAAGCCTCTACAATAAAAGGTGTTGGGAAAATTGGACTGACACATGCAAAAGAAAGAAATCAGACTACTATCTCACACTATACACAAAAATCATTTCAAAATGGATAACACACTTGGATATATGGCCGGAAACCGTAAAATGCATTTAAAAAACACAGGCAAAGCATTCTAAGACATAAGATTAAGAAATGTTGTGGAGTCATTCCTAGAAGCAAAGAAAACAAGGGAAAATATAAATAGCTGGGACTACATTTAACGAAAAAGCTTCTGCACAGTGAGAGACTGTAACTAAAGCAAAAAGACACCCTACTGAGTGGGAGAAAGTGTTTGCATATTATACATTTGTCAGAGGGCTGATATCCAGGATCTACAAAGTCACATAATTCAACAAAAAGAAATCAAAGAACGCAATCAGAAAATAGGCAGAGGAGCTAAATGGGCAATTCTCCAAAGAAGACATACAGATGGCCAACAGGCACATGCAAAAATGTTCATCATCACTTATCATCAGGGAAATGCAAATCAAAACCACAATGAGATACCACCTCACTCCTGTGAGAATGACCCACATCAAAAGACCAGAAACCACAAGTGTTATTTACCAAGGATATGCAGGGAGAAGAAAAAAAAAACCCTCCTACGCGGTTGGTGGGAATGTATACTGGTCTTCATCTCTTAAATATATACCTAAAGAATACAAAAACACAAATTCCAAAGGAAACCTAAACTCCTGTGTTTATTGAAGCACTATTTGCAATAGCCAAGATATGGAAACAACCTAATTACTGGAAGGCAGATAATGGATCAAGATGTTGTATATATACACAATGGAATATTACTCAGTGATCAAAAAAAAAAAGACAAACTCATGCCCTTTTGTAGGAACTTGGGTGGAGCAGGAAGGGATTATGCTAAGTGAAATAAACCAGAAGGAGAAAGACAAATACTGGATGGTGTTACTTATATGTGGAACCCAGAGAAAACAAACAAAAGGGTCAGAAAAAGATAAACTTTAAAACCAATGCTTGAAAGCTGACCATAGATCTGGGGCATCCAGATGTTGAGGTTAAAGGGAAAGGGTGAGAACTGAGAGGGGGGAGAGAGCACAATGGACTATGGTGGAGGATTATGGGTGCTTTGATGGTGGGAGTGCTACAGTGACTACACCTGAGGGGGGAAATCCTATATTCAAAACACTAACAAGGATGTAAAAAAATACTTCAATAAAAATATAATAAGAATCTAATGTGTAAATAGAAGACTATTTGGGCACGAATGCAAGTGGGTGGGTAAATGTTATGATGGCAACCAGCAAAAGTTCTCGTTTTATTACTTTAATTAAATAGCCACTGAAAGAGAATGCAAAGTCAGAATCTTAAAATGAGAAAGGAAGAGCAAGCGTTAGAAGTTTGAAGATAGAAAAGAAGATTGCAGGTCCAGAAGAGGTGGCAATTTGGAAATATCAAGACTATGCTTTTGTTTCAAGTGAGTAGAATGAAGTGAGAAAAGGGCAACAGTCAAAAGTTTATGTATGGGCTTGATTATGATTGATCATGGAATTTAAGCTAGGTTAAGACAGAATAAAGGACAGCAAAAAATAAAGGAACAGTTAAAATTGGTAGATCTCAGTGAGTTTGACATAGTCTTGAGTCAAGTTATTAGAGGTAGTGAGTTAAAAATATAGGAAATAATGGGCAGCAAATGAGACTCCATAATCAAAATTATGGAAGTATGAACTACTGGTAATGAGATGGTCTTTGGTTATGAACATGGGAGTGAATGGCTGAATAGGATGGAGGATATAGGAGATTTTGCTGATGATTTGAAAAGCTGAAGACATGAATATGGTGATCAAACCTTTTATTCCTTGTTCTCCTTGGAGTCCTCTATCACCTGGAGATCCTGGAGGACCTGGAGGGCCTGCTTCACAAATATCATCACCTGAGATAAGAAAAAGGATAGTAAGTTACTTGTGAAATATCCAGAAAATTAAAAAGAAAGAAAGATTAACAAACTAGGAAAAAACCCTATTTTCAGTAAATTCTCTGCAGCAATACAAGTACCTACAGGCCAAAGGAAGATATAATATCAGTGAAAATTTGAAGAGCAAGTCTATATATCAAAGAATCACCAAAAAATCAAAGTAGAAGCAGCAGCAGAATGCCTTAGATATCAGAAACACAAAAAATGATGTCAACCTTCAGTTAATTCACTTATAAATGAAAACAAAACAGAAACAATAGAACTGAACAGGAGAAAAGTATGACTTACTAGGAGGGATGTGATGGCCAGGAGGGCCAGGAGGACCTGGAGGGCCAGGAGCTCCCAGCTGTCCAACAGGTCCAGGAGGTCCAGGAATAGAAATTCCTGGTGGACCTTGATCACCTTTATGGCCCCTTTCTCCAGGAAAGCCAGGGGGACCAGGAGGACCCATAACTGCAGTCCCTAACATTAAAAAAAAATTATTATTAAAGTAGTCAAAATGATTTTATTTTAGAGATATTTTGTTCTCGATGAGATATTAAGCATTCCTTTAATATGTAACATCTGTTATGTCCTATATTATAGTAATTAGAATTGCTAAACCATCTTTCTTTTTGATATTATTTGCTTAATATATCTTTCCACTGCTTTCTTTCAAAACTTCTATAACCATTTGTTTTAGTTATGCCTATTGCTTTTGAATCTGTTTAGTCCTTTTGTATTTATTGCAATACTGATTTATTTTCAACTTCTTATTATGTTTTATTTTCTATTTACTCAGGTTTATTTGTATCTATTTTGCCCCAATCCTAACTAGCATTACATAAATCGATATTTTTTGGCCATTTTCTTTCCTCAACTTTTATTTCTATCACTCTCTAGTGACACTACTAAAATTTTAACCTTTGTACTTAAACCTATATTTTTCTTAAAACTTACATTTAATAATATTTATATTCTTGCCCTCTACTAAGTCAATAAACCTTATCAGTGACTTCCCCCATTCTCTCTGTACCTCAACATCCCATGTTAATAATACCAACAATTACAGTTTCAGGTTGTTTATTAAAATGCCTCTGCTTTTTAATGATCAATATTTAGACTTAATATGACTTACTAATATCTTCCCTAAACTTTGGTTCTTCTATGTTACCCACCTCACTCCCAAGTTGATCCTGAATTCATTCTTCCTTGGAGTAAAACCTCCAATAACTATTTCAGAGAAGTTCTATATATGGTAAACTTTATAAGTATCCCATCTTCATACCAGCATGAGTGTTTGAAGTATTCTAGAATCCCAGATTCATAGTTATTTTCTTCATCACTTTAAAAATGTGTTTCATTATTACCTTCTGGGTTTCATTATTCTGTAGGTGGTAGGCCTTTTCCCTCAGTTTTTGAAATTTATTTTTAACAGAGGCAATATTGGTGTACCCCAATAAGGTATTACCACTATAGCACACCCATCACCAATTCACCCATACCCTTGGTGTTCTAGTTCTGTAGTCAGCTATCAAGGGTTAGTTTTTCAGCTGGTCTTTATCTGACTATTAATTTAGTTATTTTATATTCCACATATTAGTGGCACCATCTGGTATTTATATTTCTCCTCCTGACTTATTTCACTTAGAATTATCTTCTCAAGCTCCATCCACATTGCCACAAATGGCATGAGTTTATCTTTTTTGATCACTGGATAGTATTCCATTGCGTATATATTATACCACATCTTGATCCACGCATCTATTCTGGGTCACTTAGGTTGCTTCCATCATTTAGCTATAGTGTAGTAAATAATGCTATATTAAACATGGGAGTACAAGTTTCCTTTCAAATTAGTATTTTTGAACTTTTGGGAGTGGAATTACAGGCTTGAATGGCAGATCCAGTATGGAGATATCTCAGTTTTTAAGAGTTTCTTTTTATCCTTATATTCTGATGTGTCCCTACAATGTGTCCAGTTACATGCTTTTGTGTTATTATTATTATTACTATCTTACTCTTGCTTAGGAATTCATAAGCCTTTTCACAGGGACTCATTTATTGTTTTAATAAATAGAAGTTCCTGGTCATTATTTGTTTCAAACATTGACTCTCATCCCATTCTCCCCTCCTTGATCTCCTTTCCTAGTAGATCTTGGAACTTTTAGGTCTATCCCTTATGTCTCTTAATACTTCTTTCATACTATCTAACTCTTTGACTTTTCTATATTCTGGGAAAATTCCTTATCACAGTATTCCAGACACAGTTTGCGTTTAGTCCAATATCTTGAAATGAGAAATCCTAAGTGCAAACTTAGAGAAAAATGGGATCCATAGTTATTCTCTTTCTCTTTGGTAGGATCACTGAGTGTCACCTATCTCATTATGCTACGATTTCAGTTGCCAAATATTTTTGAAGGAAAATAAACCATAATTTATTAAATATGTATGTGTGCACGCCAAGTATTATACCAGCTGCTTTTTCAATATTTATATAAACACTATCACTTCACTTCAGAAAATATCAAAATAAATCAGCTTGGGTGGCTCAATTTCAATTTGTGGTCAAATTAGAAATCCTCTACTATAATTTGTATCTTCAATGAAGGATTGATTAAAAAAAAACAACTTTTTTTTGAGCCCTAAGATAATAATCATGGGGTTTTCTACTTAGACATTTCTGGAATAAAATAAATAGTGCTGCTTATTGTTTTTATATACGTAATCTTACCAAAAATAAGGTACTGCAGTAACAGCATTCTCTTCTATAACAGCATGAAAAAGTATAATGATCAAGTTTTGGATAACGGATGTGTTTGGGTAATTTATTAATAATAACATGTAGAAATGGGATTTTTAGGATAAATGTACTATTTAAGTGATTAGACTTTCTTTTTCTTTTAACTATAGGTGAGAAATCTGGTGAGAAAGACTGCAGTGAGAGTTAGGAAGTCTCTGTTAACTGAAAAATACTCATGTCTTGTGTTATGTTCACCTTGGAACCTGTATAATACTAGTAAATTAGTAAAGATGCTATAAGCACAAGGATATAAGTACAGTCTCTTTTACCTGGAGGTCCAGGAAAGCCAGGTGGACCCTGTATTCCAGGAAATCCTTGTTCTCCTTTTTCTCCGGGCAAACCAGGTAACCCAATGTTTCCCTTCTCTCCTACAATCACACCAGTCCCAGGCCTAGGAATTACCTTTGTTATAAAAGAAAAAAAAGAAAGGAACTCAAAGGGGAAGAGGTTTATTCTCCTGAAAATAATCTAGCAGCTATATATGATTATAATGTGCACCATTTTCACAAAGTTCTCACATGTAAAAATCATTAAGACTACTACTGCAATTAGGCGTTCCAATCTATAGCACTTCTATCCTTCAACTGATTAGAAAATGCTAAGTGCTGGTAACATTACTACTCTCCTTGGTAGCACCGGGCCCCAGGTTTATAAAGCTAGAATTATTTTTAATTTCTCTTATCTTTTAATTCACATTCAATTCATTCCAATCATCTAAGCCTTATAATCCTTTTTTTTAAAAAAAATTATTTGTTTCTGCATACAAGAGCTGTGGTGCAGGCCAGAGATGCAGGGGTAGGGGTGAGAGGATTCACCAGAGATAGAGTGGGGAGCAGAACAGGCGGATCTACTGAAATACACTGCAGAGCAGAGAAGCGGGCAAGACAGGAGAAGTCGCTACACCATGTGGGTCACTCCCTGGCTGGGGATTGAACTCATGCTGAAGTGGCTGCGAACAGCTTCATACTTCCGTCTTAACCCCTTGCATGACCAGGGAGGCCCTAAGCCTTATAATTCTTTATTGAATATGTTCTGCAATTTGTCCCATTTCCTATTGTAACAGTTACTATCCTAACCTCATATATGGACTAACAGAAGTATCTCTGAGCTTGTCCCTTAGAATCCAGATCTGCTAGGATATGCTTCCTCAAAAAACAATTTTCTGTGTTACTGATCCTGTTTAAGGACTAAAAATTGTTCTCTACTTCTTACTATATATGATACTACTTTTAACCCTGGACTCTATTAAATTACTTCTCATTTCTAAAACCTCTCTTACCCATTTTCATTTCACCTCCTGTTATTTGTAGCAATGAATTTTTAGGAGAGTGAGATCTGTCTGATTATAACCACTTGATGCAATTTACACACTCTTCTCTTTGCCTTTGAATATGCCTTTCCAAACATCTATAATGCCTTCCCCAATCTTTCCTTTTGTCAACCTATATTTCTTTTTTCCTCTAAAAAGAGAGAAAACTCATTTTTTCTGAGAAGTCTTTCTTTCTTTTTTTTTTTTTAAATCTGGACTACAGAATATTAGCTTTCTTTTTTTTTTTTTAATAGAGGCATGTTTTTATTTATTTATTTGTTTGCTTGTTTGTTTGTTTTGTTTATACATGCACTGGGTACAGTCAGAAGCACGGGAGGGTGAGAGAATTCACCAGACCCAGAGCGGGGAGCAGAGCAGGCAGAAGGACCTAAGTACACTGCTGAGGGGAGCAGCGGGCGGCAGGAGAGGTCTGCGCGCCATGTGGGACCCTCCTCCGGTGGCAGGGGAGCAGCCGGGGATTGAACCGGCGCCGCAGAGGCCGCGGGCAGCTTCGCAACCCAGCGCTCTACCGCTGCGCCACCGGGGAGGCCCCTGAGAAGTCTTTCTTGATTAAAATCAACTAATCATTCCCATTCTGTCTTCTTAGAACCGCAGCGTTTAAAGAATTTCATACCAAGTAATCAAAATATAAAGAAATTCACCTCATAGACCCATAAAGGTAAACAAGATTTAGATTTAAGAAACTGTCAGTGTTAGGTAAAAATCAACACCTAACAGGCAAAGTGTGATAATTCATGCTGGTTTTATTAGATATAAAAATATTCAGACAAAAGGAGACTGAAAGTTGTGGTACCTAGAATTGAGATAGAGGTTCAAAAGGGAAAGTAATCTTCTAGGTAGGATTTCACTCTCAAAATTTCAATTTCTTCTGATACTAATCAAAATTTTATCATGGAATTTTATAAAAAAATTGTTCGAAAAATGAAGTTCTCATTTTAAAATAAAAGTAAAAAACATCTATGATCTTCTTTAAATATATCCTCACGAGACAGTACAGTACTAAGAATTAACGCTATTCATATGGCTGCACATACAGGGTTTTATGGCACTCCCACTTTTGTGGCTTCAGTGTAGTCTAAAGTCAAGACCCTCACTAAATTTTAACCAATGAAAAACTAGTATGTCAAACCTCAGCAATGACATATTATTCTTACCAAGATTGAGATTTTAACTTAAATGTCATGGTAGATGCAAACATGACAGAAAATCTGTAACCCTCCAATTATTCTTTCATAGAACAGTTTCCTACATTTACTATTAAGAGCCCCTAGAAAGCACACACTCAGGAAAGAAAGAAGTGTGAATCAGACAATTACAAATTGAGAAAACCTATTACGACCAAACCCATCCTTCTCCTAAGATCTGCAGGGGAAAGGACCAATCCCTAGTTCCCCAATAGTTTCTTTTATTGAACCTTTGTAAGCAACACTTGCACCACCTGCTGGTTTCTTGAGAAATGATTTGACAATCATGAGGCAAAACAACCCAATGCTATACTTTGGATCTTTACCATGGAGGAGTAATACAAATACTTTGAGGTCAACTTCAGTAAAAATTTTAGATGTAAAGAGTATCCAATAGAAAATGATAATTATTTGAATTTTGTGTTCTATAAGGAAAATGTATGGGGTATATAATTAAAGCACAAAATGAAAATGCATTAATAAAAAATTAACTTACAAGTCCAGGGGGCCCTCTTGGGCCAATGTCACCTTTTTGGCCCTGTTAAATACAATTACAATTACAAAATAGGATAATAAGAATCACATGAAAGCATCAATTTAATCAAAAGCTATAGTTTCACAAAGACCCTGATATTCATAATAAAATATATAAAAGAGAACTATAACATGATATAATAAGAGTACTGGGCTAAGTCTAAGAAGGCCTGTGATATTGTCTCAGATTTATGAACTATACATTCTTGATCAGTTAAAGTCTCTACCTTACATACAGACCAGGCTTCTAAGGTATTTCGAGCCATGTTGTCCTTTGATTCTAAGATTCTATTTTCTGTGAATACTCTATAAAGAGGATGCTGAATAAAAAACTGGTACCTGGAATCAATTAAAACCATTACATTTTTTACATATACACATGTTCCTTTTCATAAAACTTGTCAAGGCCATATACATTTAGTGTCATTTCCATTAGGGACATATATTTTAGAGCTCATGGACTTAAACTGTCATTGGGAACAGCAAATAAATTATAATTGCTTTTGTGGGTTTGCTCTTAAAAGCTAATAAAAGACAAATTCAGGTAAAACAGTTACCCTTAACCAGCAACTGCAACAGAATGAAGAACACAGAATTTAACTGCTACTCTATTAGCCAAGACCAAAGTTAGATATATCTCTTACAACTCTGTTCTCATTCTAGATTTGTTCATAGACACCTTTCTTCTCACTGTAAACTCCTTCTAGTTGAAGGAGTGATTCTGTCTTTTAACTTTATTTAAATTAAAGAAAAATCTTATTCTCTGAGTATTTGTTATCTTCCTTTATTTTAACTGTACACACTCTTACATCAAGCTAGAACTTGGATCTAGTTTAGGAAAAAAAACACTATTAAATTATATGCCCTTGGCACATCCAGTTTGTAACACAGTTCCCTCTTTACCTGCAAAACAAAGTTTTTCAGTTTTGGTTTTCATATGAATAATTAGAGACCAGGGAGACTAGGAAACTGGATATATTGTGATCTACTATAAATATATATTTATATTATACGTATATATATATATATATATATATATATATATAAATAGGGGAATTGTGAGCTCCGTACATTCTTTCAAAGTCACTTTTACTTTAAAATGGGTAAGTAAATACATTTTTCAGTCAGTGCATATCCGAATGAGAAAAAAAAGACAAGACTTCCAGACAACAATTGTATAGAGAATGGAAATGCATAGTGGAGATATTCTAAATTCACAGCTATACGTCTTTTTTGTATTGGGACCTCACTAAAATAATGCTAAATCCTTTTTCTAGACAACAAAAGTTTTGCTGATAAATGCTCAAGGTAAAGGCACCAACCTGTCACAATGGAAATGCTAACATTAAACAACTCTTCATGTATTTTTACCGCATGAACTATGATTTAGGATAATGAATGGAAATACCGAGGAAGTGGTACTAAAGAGAAGGGAGCAATACCAAAATATGGACAAAAGTATATTCTGAACATAAAAGCTAGTTATTTGTAACTTTTTCCTTTATAATGCAAAATAGGGAGAGGAAAAAAAGTTATGTTAACTAAAATAAAACCAGTCATTTCACAATATTAAAATTCTTACCTTTTCTCCATCCTTTCCTGGTTCACCAGGGTAACCAGGATCACCAGGCAAACCCTTTAAAACACAGAAGATAGTGACATCAGGTACTTGGTGGAACAATTATCCCCAAAATCCTCTTCTCCATAAAAACAAGAACATGGGCAAAAATAATCAGCCAATTCTTTTAGAACTCTGGAAAATTAACCAAGGAGCCTCTTGCTGAAAAAAGGGGGCTGAATATTGGTAAGAATACAGAGCTTTGCAGCATTTTAACTTGCTCTATTTCTATCACCCTTCCTCAGCTCCTCAGTAGCTTTGAAAACTAGCAGTTCACAATTAAGTTTAAAACCAGCAACAGTTAAAAAGAAAGAGAAAGTACAGGTTAGGGGTTCTTCAAAGCCCCACTCCCAGATAATTATCATTATTTGACCAGGATGTTGGTTCCCAAAGAGATCTCACTTGCAAGACTATCTTTATTTGACCTGACTTGAGTTCTCAAAATACAGAGAAAAGCCAATTCCCCAGGCTATCTGTGGAAAACAATCAGAGGCAATTGGCAATTATTGAACAACATGACTGCCTAAATCATGAAACAAAGACCAATCGTTCCAAAAGAAGCCAGAAAGCAAAGTCCTAATTTACCTCTCCTCATCCCATCTCATATGTTTAAGTTATTTATGAATTTAGTTTTTAAATTGAGGACTGTTAGCAAAATCACATTGAAACTAGTTTATCTGATTATATTACTTCCAACTTTCAATCTTATTAAGAATTATTCCTTTCCTTTGGTTTATAATCTATATTTCATCTAATTTTCTACTTGCCCTTGAAAACTTCTTTTAACATGCATACTCTTGGCACTGGGTCCACTTGAAATAGTGTTCCTGGACTTCCTGGACTCACATGATTTTATTTCCTTCTTGTTTCGTAGTAATTAGAATTACCTGTCAATATTTTTACTGAAAAAAACTTGTGTTGACACACAAAAATTATATATGAATGTTTATAGCAATTTTAATATATGGCCCAAATCAGAAAAAGCCAAAATATCCTTCAATGGATGATAAAATGAACCTTGATGCATCAATACAATAAAAAGCTACATGGAAATACAAAGAAATGGACTAATAATTTACAGTACAATGTATTGTACTAAATGAAAGAATACTGATTCAAAAGGCTTTATAAAATATGACACAATTTATAGGACACTTTAGAATAGGCAATATTATAGGCATAGAGAAATGATCGGTTGTTGCTAGTGATGGGCTGGTAGCAGGGAAAAGGATACAAAAAGCATGAGGGAACTTTTAAGGGTGATGGAACTGCTCATTGATTGTGGAAGTAGTTATACATTTATCAAAATACACAGAACTGTATATTAAAAGTGGTTCATTTTACTGTATACAAATATATATCAATAAATCTGACTTAAAAGCAGAGAAATTTCAAATTTATAGTTGAAAGTGAAAGGAAACATAATTTACATTCATTTAAATGATTTCTAAAACCAAATCTCTTTTTGCCATCCCATTTTTCTACCACCAATGTACAAATATTGCCAATTTGGCAGGTTAGGGGAGAGGTTACTCACTGGAATTCCTGGTTGGCCATTCTCTCCATCTTTTCCTGGTTTACCCTACAGTATTCAAAGAAATGTAAGTATATAAATTTATTGTTTAGGAAGTACTTTATTCTTGTTTTGGACTATATTAAATAGACTTCTTAGATTTAAATATTCTAATAGACAAATATGAGTATGTCAGTCATGAAATTTCAAGTCAATGAAACTAGAATTAAGGAGGAAAAGATAAAATAACACACACTCACATTTACACTTAATTATTTTGCATATATGTGAGTTTAATTTACAACAAAGGAAATTAATTAAAATTGTATGCTCTCTCTGCATACAATGGAGAGCATACAATGGAGAAAGGAAAAGTCTTCAAGAAATAGTGTTGGAAAAACTTGACAGGTACCTGCAAAATAATGAAATTAGGTACTATCTCCTACCATATACAGAAATTAATTTCAAATATACTAAAGACTTAGATGAAAGACTTTCAAACCATAAACTACATAGAAGAAAACATAGGCAAAACATTCTGTGACATTGGCTTCAGTGATGTCTTTGGGGACTCGATTCCAATGATAAGGGAAACAAAAGCAAAAATAAACGGGACTACATCAAACCAGAACACTTATGTACAGTGAAAGAAACCACCACAAAAAAGAAAAGTCATACTAATTGAGAAAGGATATTTGAAACACACCCATTTGACAATGGATTAATATCCAAGATATATAAAGAACTCATATAATTCAACAACACAAAACAAATAACCCAGCCAAAAAAATGGGCAAAAGATTTGAACACTCACTTCTCAAAGACATACCGATGCCCAACAGGCACATGAAAATAAATGCTCATCATCACTTATTATTAGCGATATACAAATAAAAACCACAATGAAATATCACCTCACACGTGTGAGAATAGACTATATAAAAAAGACACAAAAAATGCTGGTAAGGACTACCTACACTGTTGGTGGAAATGTAAACTGGTACAGCCTCTATGGAAAACAGTATAGAAGTTCCTTAAAAGATTAAAAATAAATCTGCCATATGATCCAGCAATTCCATTTCTAGTTTTCTACCCAACAAATATAAAAACACCAATTCAAAAAGATACATGTACCGCTATGTTCACTGTAGCACTATCAAAATAAATAAGATAAAGAAACAATTTAAATGTCCACTGATGGATGACAGGGTAAAGAAGATGCTGTGTGTGTGTGTGTGTGTGTGTGTGTGTATACACATCTATGTATGTATATGTGTATACATATACATATGTACACATAATGTGTATATATAATGGAATATTGTCCAACGATAAAAAAAATATGAAATATTGCCACTTGCCACAACATGGATGGAACTTGAGGGGATCATGCTAAGCAAAATAAGTCAAAAAAACCCATAAAGACAAATATTAGATGATTTCACTTATATGTGGGATATAAAGAAATGAATTAAACAAGACAAAATAAACCTCAGTCTGACAACAAAATGGTGGCTACAAGAGGTGAAGGAAATGGAGGGTGGGAGGAACAGGGAGATGTTAGCAGTGAGTTAGAAATTTGATGGTGGGCATGGTGGGATAAATATACATTTGAAGATGTGTGAAGTTGTAATCCTAAAACTTATACAGTGTTGTCAACCAATATTATTTCAATAAAGATAAAAAGACAAAAATTTTTTGCAAAGAATATTAGTAGTTATAACACTTACTCTTTTGCCCGGTTCTCCTTGCTCACCCTTTTCACCTTTCACACAACCTGGAAGACCCTGTACACGCAAAAATAATTTTGTATCATGGAGTACTGTGTATCAATACGAACTTATATTAAATGATATGGAAGCATTTTAGGTTACTTACTGGAGGACCACGTATCCCTGGAGGTCCAGGAGGCCCTCGGTCACCAGGAAGCCCCTATGCAGTAGTAGCAGAAGGGAAAGCAATGTTATGTAGACTCATGTAGCATAGTAAAAGATAATGGGATGTTTCTAATTCAAAGTTGAAATCCACTGGGCAAAAGAACAAGAGCCATCTTTTTTACTTCATTTTCTAGTGCATGTACAAGCCAATTTTATGGTAAATAATAAGAGAACACTGGGCCTCCCCAGTGGCACAAGGGGTTGGGCACAGCGCTATGGAGCTGTCCGTAGCCTCTGCAGCATGAGTTCAATACCCCGCCGGCTGGGGAGCTGTCCATATGGCACAGCAGATCTCTCCTGTCTCGCCCTCTGCTCCCCTCGGCAGTGTGTTTGGTCAGTCTGCCTGTTCTGTTCCCCACTGTCTCTGGTGAATCCTTTCAGCCCCCCCCCATGCCTCTGGTCTGTACCCCAGTACACATAGACATTTGGACAGAAAATGAAATGGTTCAATCCATATTGATAAAAGAGTTTCAGTACAATTTCTCCTTTATTCTTAACTTTCTTATAAGTATTTTTTTTAAGATTTATTTATGCATACAATAAATAAGATAAAGAAACAATTTAAATGTCCACTGATGGATGACAGGGTAAAGAAGATGCTCTGTGTGTGTGTGTGTATACATCTATATATGTATATGTGTATACATATACATATGTACACATAATGTGTATATATAATGGAATATTGTCCAACGATAAAAAAATATGAAACATTGCCACTTGCCACTTGTACTGGGGTACAGGCCAGAGGTATGAGGGGGTGAGGATTCACCAGAGACAGAGTAGGGAGCAGAAGAGGCAGATTCACTGAAATACACTGCTGAGGGGAACAGCAGGCAAGTCAGGAGAGGTCTGCTGCGCGATGTGGGTAGCTCTCTGGCCAGCTGGGAATTGAACTCATGCTGCAGTGCCTGGGGATAGCCTCGTAGGGTGTGTCTTAACCCCTTGTGCCACCAGGGAGGTCCTCTTATGAGTATTTAAATGAAATAATAATGTATACACTGTTGATTGCCTCATATACCTTAGTATAATCAAGGTATCAGATAACTTTTTTTAGTTATTTTTTTGGTTTGTTTTTTTGTGGGACCCTCGCCGGTGGCCTGGGATCGAACTGGCACTGCAGAAACTGCGGGCAGCCTTGCAACCCAGCGCTCAACTGCTGTGCCACCAAGGGAGGCCCCAGATAACTATTTTTAAGTACAATAAGGGCTTATAGAGCAACACCTTTTTTCTCCTGGCATATCAGTGAAATGTAGAGAACACAGTCATCAAAGTCAATGACTATCTTACATTGATCCAATTTTGGACACAAATGCATTATTCATAATAGCCAGAAATGAAAACCATTCAAATCTACATCAACTGATGAATGGATAAACAAAATATGGAATAATATATACACAAAGGAGTATTATTCAGTCATAAAAAATTAAGTACTGATACTTGACATAACATGGATGAACTTGAAAATATATTAAGTAAAAGAAGCCAGACAAAGATAACTAGGTATTGTATGATCTCACTTATAATAAATATACAGAATAGGTAAATGTACAGAGTCAAAAAGTAGATTATTGGTTGCCTAGGGCTGGAGAGCTTGGGGAAAAATGGGAAATGACAACTAAAGGTATGGGGCTTTAGGAAGGGGCTGATGAGAATGTTCCCAAAATAAGATTGTAGTGATGGTTTTTACACCCAATGAATATACTAAAATAATGGAACTGTACACTGTAAATGAGTGAATTATATGGTATATAAATTATAACTCAATAAAACTCTTTTTAAAAATAAATTATCTCAAATCTTTGTTATTTTTAATGTATATTAACATATAATCACATTCTAGCTTCCAATGCATTTTAATGGAATGCTACTCATACCAAGATTTTCATTGATTTTCTCTCCACATACTCACCTGATCTCCTTTCTGAAACTCCACATCAATTGGTCTTTTCTGTTCACTGATTTGCCCAGGTGGTCCAGGAGGGCCCTGAAGACCTTGTTCACCCTGTTTGCAAGACAAATAAAAAGTGACATTATATTATTTACACAGACAAACAGCATGAAAACTATGTCAGCTGAAAGAAGGAAAAAGAAATTCAAATGAATATGAAAAGGAAAGCTGATGGTTGAATAATCAACTTTGGTTTTTTTACTTACCTTTTCGCCCTTGGGTCCCTGGAAATTTAAGCCCATATTACCCTGAAGAGAGAGGTTTCAGTTTAAAATCTCATTGACAATAGCAAAAGGAATTCATGCCAAAGAATAGATGTAAAGAAAGATAAAATTACCTTTGGTCCTGGAAGTCCTGGTGGACCAGGAGGGCCCTAGGACAATAAGAAACAGAATAGGAAAAATGTTATATTAATATGCTTATGAAAAACTATCTGATTCCATTAAAAAGTGGGCACTGAAAAGTCCCTTCAAATAATACTTTCTTGCTTTCGTTCATTGCTTTGTAATCAGAGAAACACATTTGAATTGATTAATACAAACTAAGTGAATGTGAAAATTTTGGGCAACAAGATACAAATAGGCAGGAGGAAAATGGCAGAGTGTGGGTAAAGGTAGAGGGCTAAGATAATCAATGCAAAAAGTGCCAAAATTGACACGAAGTTCAATTCAACAAACATATATAAAATTTCTCATATTTGAATTATAAATTTAGGTACCATTTGGCAATTAGCACCCTAGTTTTAAAAAAAATGTTTTTTTTTTTAATCTAGTTTTCCTTTCATGAAATCTGCCTCTGTATATTTGAGAATGTTTCAACGTTTGAAAAGACAAATAGGTATCTGTCTGCCCAATGGACCTATTTACTTACACAGTGTACCCTGGCATGTCTTTACTTTTTTTTTTAAAGATTTATTTATTTATGCATACAAGAGCTGGGGCAGGCCAAAGATGTGGTGGGGAGGTGAGAGGATTCACCAGAGAGAGAGTGGGGAACAAAACAGGCAGGCTGACTGAAACATGCTGCTGAGGGGAGCAGTGGGCGAGACAGGAGAGGTCTGCATCGCCATGTGGGTTGCTCTCTGGCCAGCCGGGGATTGAACTCATGCTGCAGAAGCTGTGGATTGCTTCACAGTGCAGTGCTTAACCCCTTATGCCACCAGAGAGGCCCTCTTTACTTCTTTTTTAAAATTAAGTACTATTGTTTTACATCCTTGTTAATATTTTGACAATACAGGATTTCTCCCCTTAGGAGAAACTTAGGAAACCTTAGGAGAAATCATTGTGCTCTCACCGCCCCCCAACCCCCAACCTCTGGTAGTCTCAGTTTTTTTGCTTTTTTTTTTTAAAGATTTATTTTATTTTTATTATTCATACAAGAGCTGGGGTGTAGGCCCAGAGGTACAGGGGTGGGGGTGAGAGGATTCACCAGAGACAGACTGAAATACACTGCTGAGGGGAGCAGCGGGCGAGACAGGAGAGGTTTGAGGCGCCATGTGGGTTAGCTCTCTGTCTGGGGATCGACCTTGTGCTGCAGTGGCTGCGGATAGCTTCACAGTGCTGAGACTTAACTCCCTGTGCCACCAGGGAGGCCCATGGTAGTCTTAGTTTTATATTCAGTTTTCTGGGTTTGTTGTTAGTTTGGCTTTAACTGACCCTTTGTTTGGTTTCTCTATATTCCACAAATAAGTGATACCAGCTAGTACTTGTCTTTCTCTTCCTGGTTTATTTTGCTTGGTATAATCCCTTTCAACTCCATCCATGTTGATGCAAATGGCATGAGTTTATATCACTGAGTAGTACTCCATGGTCTATATATACCACATCTTGATCCACTCATCTATTTTTGAGCACTTAGGTTCTTTCCATATCCTGGCTATTATAAATAGTGCTGCTATAAACATAAGAGTGCAGGTTTCCTTTGGAATTATTGTTTTTGTGTGCTTTGGGTAGATACCTAGAAGTGGCATTTTCTAAGACTGCTTTATCTGTTGAATCAGGTGATTAATTGAAAGGAAGTATATATATAATAAATCAGTTATGTGGCCACAAGGGTTAAGAAAATTCAAGGTCGGGCCTCCCCGGTGGCGCAGCGGTTGAGCACTGGGTTGCGATCTGCGGCGCCGGTTCGATCCCCGGCTGCTCCCCGGCCACCTGAGGAGGGTTCTACATGGCGCGCAGACCTCTCCTGCCGCCCGCTGCTCCCCTCAGCAGTGTATTTCGGTCCTTCTGCCTGCTCTGCTCCCCTCTCGGGCTCTGGTGAATTCTCTCACCCTCCCGCACTTCTGACTGTACCCAGTGCATGTATAAACAAACAAACAAACAAACAAACAAATAAATAAAACATGCCTCTATAAAAAAAAAAAGAAAAAAGAAAATTCAAGGTCTAACAACACACCTAAGATATACCAATGTTGTAACAACAATGTTAGGAAAAAGTGCTGTAGTCTAGATTCATACTTTGCTGGGCATCTATAACTAAAACAAAAGGGTTTTCTAAACCCCTCCCAAAAAATTGCGATCTTTTCTGGTAGATTCCTCCAGTATTTACCAAATGTTATTTCCTTCACTTAAGAATAGAGGAGAAATTGTCACAAGCAAAAATGTACAATCTGTAAAGGTATAATGAAAACTGTCACTTAAAGATATGGTAAATGAGAGATAGAGTGGCACACAAGAAATTGCTTTGAGTGAAGTACAATTTTCTTGCCATTTTAAGAAGACAACAGCAAAGTTCTGGGTCCAAAACATGACTTGAATGAAATCTAAGTATTTCAGAAGTAAAACTACTTACAATTTATTAGAATAGGAAATATGAGTGATCCCAGAGGTAATAAAGTAATAGAACTATTTGAAAATTCTGGGTCTTTCAAAGTTTTTGCTTCTCTCCTGGTTTATACAAATCTTTATCCCATGGCAGACTAATATACTACCCACACCAATCCTGCTGTTTTGTCACAGGCCCCTAAGAAATAAGAGCAGATATTTTTTGTGAATCTATGTTTTTGTGCCTCTTAAACAGAAAACAGCAATTTAAAGAGACAGGTTTCCTCAGATGACTAGAGAACTGCCTTAGAAACTTCATGAGATGGCCAGAATTGATTTCAACACTGACAAATCAAGAGGTAAAAAACAAAATAATTATTTTGTTTTAAATAATTTATTTAAAATTTTTCTTTTGTATACCTTACTCTTTCCATCTGTAAAATGAAGCTATTACTTGACACATACATATTTTACCATAACATTGTAAAAATCTCCTGTAAATAAGAAAATTATAGAATATAAACACTGAAATTACATTATACTTTCAACAATTTATAAATATTTCGTGAGAAAGAAATCAAAAGAAAGGGAGAAGTGAAATTACAGAACAAAGTTTACCATCAAACCTGGTGGTCCTGGGGGACCAATTGGTCCTGGTACACCAGTGGGACCAGATGGACCCTGTTATAAAGGAAATAAAGAAAAGGATAAGACATATGCCCATGTAATAAAACTATTTTTATGAATGATGGAAAACTCAGGATGATAATTATATCTTGGGAGAATACAGTAAGATAGAACTGCCAAAGAAACCACAGGTTGATTGAAAATTATTTGTAATATTCTAGATGTTAAAGTTTGTTTGGGGTTCATAGGTGTTCATTTGGTAGTTATGCTTCATAACATACATATATTTTACATGTATTCTGTGTTATTTTCAAATATTACATAATAAAATGTTATAAAAAATGAAGGACATGATTGAGAGTACAGAAGGACAAATAGGGGGTGATGCCAAGTACAAAATGAGAAGAGAGATAATGACATTGCAACTCAGTAATCAAGTACTACAAAACACTAATTTTTGCTTTTGACAAATGGATCAATCCTTGCAAAATATAAACCTTAAGAAATTGACCTCATAATCTATAAATACTCAAAGGTTATTGCTATCCCTGTGCAAGTTATCTACAGGCTATTATAACTCCTTCCTTAAAATTATATTTGATGCTCAACCATGCATAAATATCATTCTTGCAGTCTTCAAAATATGTTCAGATATTATATATAACTGATAGTGTTTCAAATGACACATTTTAATATCTTAAATGGGAGATATATAATTTCTATTTTTAATCAGACCACTTACAATTACCAGTACGACTTCTACCACTTTACTGATCCCCATGGTACAAGATTAAGAATATAGAAGCCTATTTCTTCTACCTAATCCCAAAATAAAATTTCCAAGAAAACTTGACAGAAAGATAAAAGAATAAAGCAATGCTTCTTAAAATTCACTCCGGTCCAGATTGCTTTTATTATCAAGTACAAGGTACATGCAATATCTACCATATTTCAGATAATAATTTCTATAAACAAAAATAGAGGGTATTAAAATCTAGAGAGAAAAAAGTGTTCCTGTGATATGATTTCAATATAATAAAAAGTGAAGCAATACAAAAATGAAGAAAACCACTGGATGCTTACTTGTATTCCGGGAGGACCTGGATATCCTGTATTACCCTTTGGTCCTGGCAGTGATGACATAATTATACTACCTGGTTCTCCCTAAAATAAACCATAAATGGAAGTTGTAAGTAACAGTTATGATACATGAAAACTGGCAAGATCGTGAAAAATGATCTGAGAATCCAATATGTCGCATAAACATCCTGGAAGATTAGTAATTAATCTCAGTAATTAACATGAACAAATTTACCCTTTAAAGGAAAATGAGGAAGTGGCCAGAGTACACTGAAGTAAGTCAATTTATTAAAAGCCTTTTTAGCTACTCATTCATTTAAAAAGCAAAATTAAATATTAATATTTCCCAAGAATGGTGTTAGGCTCAAGATACTCCACAGTGAAGAATGTAACAAGGCTCTGTTCTCATGGCAGTAACAACACACTGGGAAAATGCAGATCATAATATATAAATATATAAGATTACAAAATTTTCTGTTAAGGATTATGAAGAAAAACCACATCGTACATGATAAAGAAATCATGGAAGACAAAAAATAAATGATAACTATGTGATGTGATAGCAGTGTAAATTATTGCTACAGTGGCAATCAGATAATATATAAAATTAACATGTACATCTGAAATTTATACAATATCTTAGGTCAAATAAATTTTTGAAAAAAGTGGAGGAAATTAGTTTTGTTAGACAAAGAAGGGCAATCTGTGAAGGTAATATTGAGGCTGAGATCTAAAGAAGTTGACCACCTGAAAATGGGAGAATAATGTTTGAAAGTGTAAATAGCTTATACAAAGGGCTCAAAAGGAAGAGTCTGGCATATTCAAACAATGCAGACCTGTGTGATCAGTAGTGGAATGTGGCTTAAATATGAGGCCGAGAGTGTAAGCAGGATAAGAACACACAGGTCTTACAGGTCTTGGAAAAGAATGTAGAGTTTATCTTAGAAGCAGTTGGGAAGCTCTTGAGAGTATATAAAAAAGAGAAACCAAATTATTGATTTAGGTTTTTAAAGGTATTTCTAGAGTGAACAGATGGGTCAACAGTACAAAAATGTAGTAAGATGAAGACTGACGTATGTGAACAAAGGAGAGCTTGTAAATGTGTACCTGCACAACTTCTACAAGTATCAGCTTTAAGACAGAAGTCAGAGTCATTATCTGTTTGAAGTTGCAGGCTTTCCAAATGTTTTATTCAAAATTTTTACCTTCTCAGTATGAAATACTTACCTTCATACCTGGGATCCCAGGAGGTCCCTATTATTAAAAAGAAAAGTAATTTTTTATGAGGGGATCAAGCAAAAAAACACAATGTTTTTCAAATATAGTCCAAACTGAATAGATGAATATAGGATATTCTAGTGGAATGTATCTTAGGATAATTACAGATTATATATATATATATATATATTTAGAAATTATATATATACTTAGAGATTATATGTGTGTGTATTATATATATATATATATATATATATATAACCATAGAATCCTTGCTTTTATCCAGCAGAGAGCTATATTACCAACTTCTTTAAAAAATTGTGTCCTTTAGTTTAGTATTTAAAAGGCACTACTTTGATCCACATAAAGGCATTGTGTTCACTTTCAACACTTTTGTTTCTTCTTGTGATTCCTGTGTTCATTATAATCACAAATTTTAGAACTTACTGGAGGACCCTGTAAACCAGGAAAACCGGGACTGCCTGGAAATCCACGGTCTCCCTAGAAGGAGTTAAAATAAAGAGCATGAAGGAACAAGATAAAAAGCAAAACTATACCATCAAACAATGACTATTGAAAAAAGTTATGAAAATTACCTTAAATTCATTAGCCTTAACTTTCCAATTGTTTCAATATCAACTATCCATATGTATTTCACCTTCCAAGATACTTTTGTCTCTACTTGTCAACACGAATCAGAATAAAGGAAAATATATTTTCTTTTTTGAATTTTTTTTATTGTTTTATATATTTTTTACATCATTCTTCATTTTTATTCAATGTATGCTTTAACATCTCCAGTATAGTCCCTGTGAAATTCCCACCACCAATTCACCCATGTAACATCACCATATATTTTCTGCCTTGGTCATTTTCTTCTAAGAAATCCATTTTGAGACAATCATATCACAGATTCCTGACCATCATCACATTTAATAGTTAATGATTTGCCTCTATTTTCTGACCATATATGATACAGATTCTTATTTTAACTGTTATTGCACTTTTCTTTTATTGTAAACTATTTCAAATTATTTTTGTAAAGAGGAAAAGATGGTAAGAAAGAACACCATTAATAACACCAAGAGAACAACAATAACAATAGTTCTAACAATTGCAGGTCATTATGTTTTCCAGGTACCCAATTTTTCTCACTCACTATTGTAAAGTACTAATACGGACATTTGGTTTGAAAAAAAAAAGATAAAATTGTTGGAGAAGAACCCCAATGTACCCCAAGTACCTAAATGCCATAACAATTCTAGAAACACTCTTGTCACAGGTAGAAAGAATAAATTTATTACAGCTGTATGCCTTTAAGGGTATTATCCAACACCCTTCCCTCTACTACTATTTACACATAGAAAAGTGCATCTGGAGATAAAAAAGTGATCTGAACATCAAGTTTATTTTTTTTATAAGAGGGAGAAAAGTCCTCATTGCAATATTTAAATATTTACTTTTTATTTATACAATAGCTGGGGTACAGGCCAGAGGCGTGGGAGGGTGAGAGGATTCAGCAGAGAGAATGGGGAGCAGAACAGGCAGACAGACAGAAAGCACTGCTGAGGGGAGCAGCAGGCACAACAGGAGAGGTCTGCTGCGCCATGTGGGAATCTCCCTGGCCAGCCAGGAATCGAACCCGTGCTGTAGAGGCTGCGGACAGCTTCACAGCGCTGTGCTCAACCCACTGCACCACCAGGGAGGTCCTGAACATCAAGTTTAGAAGGCAGAAAACAGAAAAACCCATATATTCTGGCTCCATCTCAAGGTTTCATTCTATTTGCTACACAGTCAGACATAAAACAAACCATATAATCTTAAAGTATACATAATAAATTCATTTAAAATTGTTGCTTACATAATTGGGGGCCTGCAAAAACAAACAAATTGTAAGAGTTGCTAAGGTGCTGTTTTACAAAAAAAAAAAAGAAGAAGAAGAAATATTTCTTAACCATATAGCATACTACACTCATCATAGATATATTTGGTTTTAAAATTTAAAACTTTGGCAAATAACAAATAACCAAAACAGGCACAAGAATGTAGCCCACTTTGACATGCAAAGAAAAAAACAAGAGAAAACACAAATCAATAGGATCATAAATAAAAGAGGAGAAATTACAACAGACAGTAAAAATCAAAGGAATAATCACAGATTACTATCAACATTTATATGCAAACAAGTTCAACAATCTAGAAGATATGGACAAATTCTTAGAACTATATAATCATCCAAAGCTAAATAAAGAAGAACTAGTACTCCTAAATAGACCAATTACAAGCAGTGAAATTGAAATAATAATCAAAACCCTCCCCCAAAACAAAAGCCCAGGACCAGACAGCTTCACAAATGAATTCTCCCAAACATTCAGAAATGAACTAGTGCCTATCTTTAAAAAAATTAAGAAAGAAGGTATACTACCAAATACATTTTATGAAGCCAACATTGTACTAATACCAAAACCAAACAAAGATAACACAAAAAGAGAAAACTACAGGTCAGTCTCCTTAATGAACACTGATGTAAAAATCATCAATAAAATCCTAGCCAACAGAATCCAACAATGCATCAAAAGGATAATACACCGCAACTAAGGGGGATTTATTCCAAGGGCACAAAGATGGTTCAACATCTGAAAATCAGTTAATGCAATCCAACACATCAACAAAAAGAAAAATAAAAACCATATGATCATATCAATAGATGCTGAGAAAGCATTCGACAAAGTTCAACATCCATTTATGATGAAGGCCCTGGAAATTCTCAGGATAGCAGGAACATACCTTAACATGATAAAAGTATATATGAAAAACCCACAGCCAATATTATTCTCAGTGGTGAAAAGCTGAAAGCCTTTCTTTTAAGATCAGGAACAAGACAAGGATGTCCACTCTCACCAGTGCTTTTCAATATAATACTGGAAGTCCTAGCCAGAGTAATAAGACAAGAGAAAGACATACAATGAATCCAAGTAGGGAAAGAAGAAGCAAAACTATCACTATTTTCAGGCAATATGATAATTTAAATAGTGACTCCTAAAAACTCAACAGAAAAACTAATTAAAATAATAAACCAGTTTAGTAAAGTGGCAGGATACAAAATAAACATACAAAAATCAGTAGCCATCCTATATGCAAACAATCTGAAGAAGAAGAAATAAGGAAAATCATCCCATTTACAATTTAAACACAAAAAATCAAAATACCTGGGAATAAACTTAACCAAGGAGGTGAGTGTCCTACACAAAGAAATGGAAAACATCCCCTGCTCATAGATTGGAAGAATTAGCATTATCAAAATGGTCACCCTACTGAAGCAATTTACAGATTCAATGCACTCCCCATAAAAATCTCAATGATATTCTTCAAAGAAATAAAACAAATACTGATGAAATTCATATGGAGCCACAAAAAACCTAGCATAGTCAAAGCTTTACTGACTAAAACAAAGGAGAATGGAGGTATCACACTCTCAGTCTTCAAACTATAGTACAAAGCTATACTAACTAAAACAGCATGGTACTAGAACAAAAACAGACACATAGACAATGGAACCAAATAGAAAGCTCAGAAATAAAGCCACACATATACGGACAACTAATCTTTGACAAAGGAGCAAAGACTATGCAATGGAGCAAAGAAAGTTTGTTTAATAAATGGTGCTGGGAAAACTGGACCAACACATGCAAAAGAATGAAACTAGACTACTACCTCACACCATGCACAAAAAGTAACTCAAAATGGATAACAGAATTGAACATAAGACCTGCAACCATAAAATATATAGAAGAAAATATAGGCAAAACACTACATGACCTACATCTCAGTAACATCTTTAAAGACTCATTCCCCAAGCAAAAAAGTGAAGGAAAAGATAAACAGCTGGGATTACATCAAACTAAAAAGCTTCTGTACAGCAAAAGAGACATTAACCAAAACAAGAGACACCCCACTGATTGGGAGAAAATTTTTGCAGTCCATACAACTGATAAGTGACTGATCACAAAGATCTACAAAGAGCTCACATGACTAAAAAAAGAAACAACAACAACAAAGTAAACAAACCAGTCAAAAAATGGGCAGAAGAGCTGAAAAGAGCTAAAAAGCTAAAAAGAGGAAATGCAAATGGCCAACAAGTATATGAAAAAATTTCAATATCAGGGCCTCCCCTGGTGGCGCAAGCGGTTAAGCGCAGCGCTGTGAAGCTATCCACAGCCTCTGCAGTGCTGGTTCGACCCTGGCTGGCCAGCGAGGGTCCCACATTGCACGGCAGAATTCTCCTGTCGTGCCCGCTGCTCCCCTCAGCAGTGTACTTCGTCAGTCTGCCTGTTCTGCTCCCCGCTCTGTCTCTGGTGAATCCTCTCACGCTCCCGCAAATAAGGCCTATACCCCAGTTCTTGTATAAATAAATAAATAAATAAATAAATAAATAAATAAATAAATAAATCTTTAAAAAAATATGTTGAACATCACTTATAATCAGGGAAATGCAAATCAAAACCACAATGAGATACCACCTTCTACAAATATAACACATATAGCACATATTAAAAAAAAACTAGTAACAACAAATGTTCGCAGGGATGTGGTGAAAAAGGAACTCTCCTACACTACTGCTGGTGGGACTGCAAACTGGTACAACCACTATGGAGAGCTGTTTTGAGGTTCCTTGCACTACTAAAAATGGATCTACCATATGACCCAGCAATTTCACTCCTAGGAATCTACCCAAAGAACACAAAAATATTAATTCAAAAGGATACCTGCACCCCTATGTTTATTGCAGCACTATTTACAATAAATAAGCTATGGAAACAACCCAAATACCCCAAAATAGATGACTGGATCAAGATGTGGTATATATACACAATGGAATACTACTCAGCAATCCAAAAAGATAAACTCATGCTATTTGCAGCAACATGGATGGAGCTGGAAGGGACTGTGCTCAGTGAAATAAGCCAGAAGGAAAAAGAAAAATATTGGATGGTTTCAGTTATAGGAGGAAAATAAGGGAACCAAATAAGGGACCAATGAAATAATAAAAAATAAATAAACAAACAAAATTGACAGCAACTATAAATCAGAGACATTCTGCAGGGGAGTGGGAGGGAGAGGGACCAATATTATGGTGATGGTGCATGGGTGAATTGGTGGTGGGAATTTTACAAGGACTACACCTGAGAGAAAGCATACATTGCACAAAAATGAACAATGATGTAAAATATATTTAAAAAAAAAGATTGTTCAGCTGAAATGAAGAACACAAGCAAGCCCCACAAATCCAGAATAAACATTTTATTGTTGTTGCTGTGGGTAAGGGTCATAATGACCTGTATTGGAGGTAAAAACTCTATTGCTTTCATGTATATACTATAATATCACCATTATCAAATATATTGCCTAAAATTAAGTAGAAGAAATCTTACCTTGGTTCCATTGCATCCAGGGATACCTTGTGGTCCTGGAGCCCCATCATGGCCAGGCATTCCCTTTAAAAATGGATACAACACATGTATCGTATGTCTTAGATGACTTTTTAAGGGAAATTAAAATAAGAAGCCAAATCCTACTTACAGGAAGACCTGGTGTCCCTGGAAATCCAGGAAGTCCAGGAGGACCCTGTAAGAAGAAATAAATGCATTGAACCAAAGCTGAAAACCCCTATATTCAGACTATCACAACTAAATCACATTTTTCATTAAAAAGAACCTGGAATCAGAAACTTGGCCAACTGCAGATCTGGAAAGGAAATGTAAAAGATGAGCCCAAACCATCTAGTTGTGTCAGAAAGTTAGGTAGTTATCAAAGATCAATAGTTTGTCAAAAGGACACAAAACAGGAGCCACCTTGAATAGGCTTCCATAGATCAAAGATGTGATAATTTAGGCTTAAAAAGAATAATGACTACAAATGATTAAAATACATAAATTTTTTGTGTTTACAATAATAAAAAATTTTTAAAAACCTTCCTTGATCATCAATTGAAGTTGCTGGTGAAGCAACGAATTACCTATTACAACTACAAATGATAAGTTAGAATTGTAGCTAACAGATTTGATAGAATTTTTAAAGTCACCTTACTACTCTGAATGAAATAATGGATCTGGACAATGATCACCAGTGGATACAAAATTATTAGGTAAAGTTGATGGGGACATTTTGATGGCAGAATCAGTCACGCTCATTTTATTTGAGACAGACATTGTGTTTTATGATTTAATTCAATAGTAAGTACACAGCATTACCTATGAAGTACTCATTTTCTATTTTTATTTAAATCCATTGCAGTATAATTTGCTTACAATAAAACATGCAAACATTAAGTATACAGCATCTTCTGTACCCCCAGAAAACTTTCTACTACCTCTTCCAAGGCAACCTTCAATTTGCAGGATATATGAGGAACGGAGAAGCTATTTATATTTTTTTAATATTTATTTATTTATGCAAGAACCTGGGTACAGGCCAGATGCGTGGGAGGGTGAGAGGCTTCACCAGAGACAGAGCAGGGAACAGAACAGGCAGACTGACGAAATACACTGCTGAGGGGAGCAGTGGGCCTGACAGGAGAGGTCTGCGGTGCCATGTGGGATCTCGCCAGCCGGCTGGGATCGAACCGGCGCTGCAGAGGCTGCCGACAGCTTCAGAGCACTGCGCTCAACCACCTGCGCCACCAGGGGAGGTCCCCGGAGAAGCAATTTAAATGACATCATGAAGAAACAATCATCCAGACCCAGAATTTGGAATGTAGTACAATAAAAATGACCCAGTTTCTCTAAGGACATCATAAAAGAAGTTTAAACATAGGAATCAAATGCAATTAACATGTAGAACTTGCTTGGATACTGGTTGAATAAATCAAATCAATTATAAAAAGATATCTTTGAGACAAGGGAGGAAATCTGAATATGGACTGACTTTTGGAGTGTATTGAAAAGTTATTGCTAGTTTTCTGAGGTGTAACAATGGTATAGCAATTATGTGTATATCAGTTAGAGAAGCGTACTGAAGGATTCATTAGGGAAATGAATGATATGAGGGATTGACTTTAAAATGTTCCCCCCCAAAATAAGTGGCAAGATATAGATGAAACAAATTTGTCAAAATAATAATTTTTCAAGTTGAGTGATGGGTTCATGAAGGTCCATTACACTATATTTTCTGTTTATTTGTGTATGCTTAAAATTTTCATAATAATAAACCTTTTAAAATCTTAATGTCAAGAGTTTCCCTTGAGTTGAATCCAGAGGCTGGAGGAACTATCAGGCCACCTATCTCTAAGCATTTCTGAAGTTCTAGATTAGGGACATGAATTATTTATGTATTTCCAGATAGTTTGAAATTGAAATTGATAGAATGGAATGGATAGTTCTTTTTGATGTGTACATGCTTAGGACATAGATAATGGTAGCTATCATTATTAGGAGATATATTATGATTATTATGAACATCTTTACTAGTATATTGATATCCATTTGTTACAGAAAAATAAAATGTGTGCTAAAATAATCCAAGGGTTTTAATTTCTTCCCTGCTTTTTCAGGACACTATCCATTAAAGTATATAGTAGCACACAAGGCAAGGTACATGTTAATAAAAACCCCAGCAAATTATGTTTTGATATTTATGTAAAATTTGTACATCTACAATATTTCTGGAAATCAAAGGATCAGAATGTGTGATCATCATTGCCACAGACATAAACATGCTATGTCACCACCCAAATATTTCATATTCAAATTAAGAGGTTTCATCTATGAACAGAATTTTAGAGCTAAAAGCAATGCTAGAGATTCTGTTGTTAACTCTGTGATTTACAAATGAAGAAACTCAGAAAAGTCAAGCATGGTTTTCCAAGTCAGTACTATTTTTAAATTACAGTTTCCTCCCAATTCTAAAACACACTGAAAGATAATGTCAACCTAAAAGCTTTTAGAAAAATTACATTAAATGTGCACTTCAGGGGCCTCCCCGGTGGCGCAGCGGTAGAGCGCTGGGTTGCGAAGCTGCCCGCAGCCTCTGCGGCGCCGGTTCGATTCCCGGCTGCTCCCCGGCCACCAGAGGAGGGTCCCACATGGTGCGCAGACTTCTCCTGCCACCCGCTGCTCCCCTCAGCAGTGTACTTCGGTCCTTCTGCCTGTTCTGCTCCCCGCTCTGGCTCTGGTGAATTCTCTCACCCTCCCGCGCTTCTGACTGTACCCAGTGCATGTATAAACAAAACAAATGAACAAACAAACAAACAAATAAATAAATAAATAAATGTGCACTTCAATTTTGAGACACATCCTGATTTCCAGAATATTAAAACTTGACAAATCATACATCTTAGAACTAAGAAAATGATATATTCTCCCCAAAGTGGCTATTTTTTAACATAGTGGTTTAAATCATTGCTTCTGACACTTATTCTCTTTAAGATACACAAAAAATTTATAATATGTGTGCTTGGTACACTGGGAGTATACATAGTCTAACGCGATCAGACCTCTGAACCCCAAAGAACTGAGATGATTACACTGATTCGCAGTTGTGGTTCAAACCACTTGTATGATACACATTTTTAATAAATTGAAAAAATGTTAGAATTTAGTACTTTCATATTTTTAACTGTAAGCTACTTTAAAATCTTATATTAATTTAAATAGACATCTGGATATATAAAGATAACTGTTGCAATACTAAAGAAAACTTAACTGGAGACATATAACAACTCTGAAATTTAACTTTTTAAAGACTGAATTTTTCTTTTTGCATTTCAATATGATTCTTTTCCAGTAGTTTCATAAAGCTTCATTTGCTTTTTCCGTCAATCAACAAAGCATTTGATATTCAGCAAATATCACTTACTCTGATCCCTTTTGGTCCCGGTGGCCCTGGAATTCCATCATTGCCCTGAAAAATACAACATTTTTAGTTATTTTTCCTTCAAAATAACAGACTTAAAATTGTGAAAGGTAGCGAGGAACTCACGCACCTGAGGAAGAAACATTGTGTTGAGACTAAAAGCACCAAGGCAAATTATAATAAAAAATAGGAAAGAACTTTTTCACCAGCACATGAATAGATCACTAATTATTAGGAAAATGAAAAGCAAAAGATATAACTGCATTCCTGTCAGAATGGATATCATCAAAAAGGCAAGAAATAACAAGTATCAGAGTAGATGTCTAGAAAAGGGAAACCTCACACACTTCTGATAACAACGCAAATTGGTACAGCCACTATGGAAAACAGTATGGAGATTCCTCAAAAAATTAAAAATAGAACTACCATATGATCCAGCAATCCAAGCAATGTTGTTGCTGTAACATTAAAATCCTACTTCTGGATATTTAACTTAAGAATATGAAGACATTAATTGGACAAGACATATGAACCACTATGTTAACTGCAGCAATGTTTACAACATGGAAACAATATAACTGCCCATTGACAGAATACTGCATAAAGGTGTGGGATACACACACGTGTGTGCATGCGCGCTCACATACACACACAGAATAGAATATTATCCAGGCATGAAAGATGAAATCTTCATTTGTGACAACACAGACGAACCCTGATGGTATTATGATACATGAAATAAGTCAGCTGGAGTAAGACAACAACATCATTTCACTCACATACAGACTATAAAAACAAAACAAAACAAAAAGAAACTCATACATACAGATAACAGACTGGTGGTTACCAGAGGTGAAGAGAGTGAGGGGAGGGCAAAATGTATAAATTGCACGGTGATGGGTAGAAACTAGTGTTTTTGTAGTGAGCATTTTCATGATGTATAGAACTGTGATTTTATAATGCTGTACACCTGAAACTTATATAATCTTATACACTGATGTTGCCGCAACAAGAAAAATGAAAAAAAAATCATGAAGGCCTTTATTTACTGAAAAGAAATGTGCGTATGTACAGAAGAAACATTTTACCTGTAAAGTTAATAATGAATCATGCAAGAAAGCAAAGATCAAACAGTAGTATAGGTATTCCCCAAATCATTTATGCATAAACAAAATGGGAGCTGATTATCTGGGTAGTTTCAATTTTATGTCACTCTTCTTCCCATACTGGTAGAAAATAACATCATCTCTGAGGCCAAAAATATATACCTTTTTTTTTAGTTTGTGGTTTTAAACCTTTGCTTTGCTTTATAAGGCACTTTCTACTGGCAGAGCTTAAGAAGGAACAAGAAAGAACTCTAGGCTATCTCGCTTCTGCTATAGAATCCCTGCAAAAAAAGCTTCCCATGTGTGTCAATCTATTCACCCATTTCTAGTTAAAAGGATATTGCTGAGAATTTAGTATTGCCTCACTATGTTTTTATTAACTAGTTTCTTTTTTTTAAAAAAAATGGAATGAAGAAAGCCCAATTTTTCTCCCAAACTTAGGATTTTCAGTGTGACATATAGCTAACATATTACCATCTGAGACTTTAGACAGCTTTTATTAAACTGAGATGCTTTGCTTTACACAGGTGGTTTCCAAGTTACTCAACTCACAACTCTAGAGTTTCCTCTGGAATTTCCTCAATACAAGGCACAGTCATCCTTCAATCAGTACAGCTCTGTTCTTATCTTTTCATATGGGGCTTCCATGCTAAGTTTCATTTGGGGAAAGAGTTACCTGGTGTATTAGTTTCCTATGCTGCTGGAACAAATTATCACAAATTTAGTGATTTAAAACGATGTAAATCTTAAGTTTGAGCAGTCCGAAGAAGGGGTCTCAGTGGCAGAATGCTATTACCTTCTGGAGGTTCTAAGGAGAGAATTCCTTACTTTTTCCAGCTTCTAGAGTCACTAAATTGTCCAGCATATGGCCCTCTTCAGTCATCATAGATTGCAATGGCTAAATGAGTCTTTCTAATGTTACATCACTATCAGTGAATTTTCCGTCTTCCTTTTTCAGGTTTGAAAGACCCCCAGATAATCCAGAGACATCTCTGTAGTTTAAAACAAGATGATCAGCAACTTAATTCCATCTGCAATCTTAATTTCATTTGTTTGTGTAACCAAACATATTCACAGGTTCTGAATATGTTTGGCTTATAGGATTAGCTAATGGACATCTAAAGGAGAGGGTATTGAGGGAAGCGCAGAACCCTGCTCCCCTCCCCCGCCCACAGAGGCGGCACTCTCCAACCGGCAGAGAGGAGGGAAACAACAAACCAAAACGGCCAACAAAAACAAACGAGGCAGCAAGCGGGACTGTGAGTGGAAAGGAACTATTGCAGCCACCACACCCCGTGAACGGGAGCTGAGGCGAACCCTGCAGGATCCGCCGCGGCGGTGAGCGAACGGCTCCGGGCGCAATTAGAGAAGAACAAAGACCCCGGGAGACGCACACAGCCCGGGCTGCCGGTAAGCTTGCGCGGAGAGCAGCGCACTCGGCGCGCTTGAAAAGCAAGTGCAGACCTGGATCGCGGCTGCCCAGGTCCCCGCGCCTGCGACCTAGGCTTGCGGGGAGACGACCTAGGCTTGCGGGGAGACGCGCGGAGGTCCTCACTGAGGTGAAGGTCCCTCCCTGAGTGAGCAGGAACCAGGCGCCCAGGCTCGGGAGCTGTGCAAAAGGGCCATTCCCGCGCCACTGAACTGGGCTACAGCCCTCGTCCTGGAACTGAGGGCTTTGAACTGAGACCCGGGGCACGAAAATTCGGGGCGTGGTTTCTCCAACACAGTGGGGCACAAGGCAGGCACAGCACCCCAAAGCTGTTGAGGTGTACCCTACCATTCCCGCTCTGTTCTCTGTCCACGGGGTGGGGGGAGGCGAAAAACAGCCCCCCAAGGACAATAGGAGAGATCTCTGGCGCCACCTAGCGACCAGGAAAAAAAAAGTCACTAACACCCTATAAAACAGGACATTTCTTAAGACTGCTTGAAAAGGGCAGAAGGTTTCTGGAGGACCCAGTGGCCAGCCGGGAAGTTATTCCACGCCAGGCCCCTTCCGACCAGCAGTCTGAGCCACAGAGGGAGCAGGCACCCAGTCCGGGGCAGACCAGGTGCGCAGAAGAGTGTGCCTGAAACCGGAGGCGCAGGGACTGCATCCCGCTTCGCCATTTGAGAACAGGGACATTTCTTCAGTAAAAACTGCCTAAAACCAGCAGAAAGCTCCCCCAGAAGACAGAGATGGCTCCTGGAAGAGCCAGAGGGGAGCGGAGAAGTTCACCCAAGATGTCAGTCAGTCCGAGCAACACAGTGTCCCAACGCATACGACAAATTAGAAAACAGACAGTAGGGAGTAGAAGAAACCACACGCAACTAACAACTCCTCAGGAAAGAAGCACACCACAAAAAGAAAACCACTCCCCAGATTGCAACGACAGCAACTTGGAAGAACTTCTGAGCCTTCCAGAAAGAGAATTTAAAATTGCCATGATTAAAAAAGTGATAGATCAGAAGAAGGAAATTGAGTCCCTAAAGAGGGAAGTAAGAGAAATGCAGGAGATCAAGAATTAATGGAGGAACTAAAGAACTCTGGGAAAGCAATGAAAGCAGAATAGATGAAATGGAAGAACGAATAAGTAATCTTGAAGACACAGAAATAAAAAGAACCAAAACAGAAAAGGAAAGAGAAGTACGAAGGAAAAAGAATGAAGAAAGACTTCGGGAACTATCTGACTCCATGAGGAAAGGAATATAAGAGTTATAGAATTCCAGAAGGAGAGAGAGAGATGTAGGAACAGAGAAATATTCATGGATATAATTGAAGAGAACTTCCAAATGAGAAGAAGGAGCTGAAAATTGATATACAAGAAGCAAGAAGAACACCAAACTTCCACGACGAAAGGAAAAACACAGCAAGACACATAATAGTAAAGCTCCCAAGAATCCAGGACAAGGAAAAAATAATGAAGCTGACAAGAGGGAAGAAACAGATAACATTCAAAGGAAAACCAATCAGGCTGACATCAGACTTCTCTGAAGAAACACTACGGGCATGGAGAGAGTGGAGGGACATAGTCAACAGACTCCAAGAAAACAGATGCCAACCAAGAATACTCTATCCCGCAAAGCTCTCTTTCCTCCATGAAGAAAGAATATGGACCTTCCCAGACAAAGAGAAACTCCGGAATTTCATTGCGACTAAACCCCCACTCCAAAAAATACTACAAGGAATCCTAAAGCCAGAACCTCAGAGGGACGAATAAAAACGAAAGAAGACCAAAAAAAAAAAAAGTTATTAAAAGAATAAATAAATAAAATCAAAGGAAAGACAAACATAATGGCAAATACAGATGCTAACATATCAATATTAACTCTAAATGTAAATGGACTAAACTCTTCAATAAAAAGACACAGAGAGTTGCAGCCTGGATTAAGAAACAAAACCCAACCTTTTGCTGTCTCCAGGAAACACATTTAGCTACAAAAGATAAAAATAGGCTCAAAGTCAAAGGATGGAAAACAATCCTAACAAGCAAATGGGCAAAAAAGAAAGCAGGAACAGCTATACTTATATCAGATAAAACAGACTTCAAACTCAAAAAAATAAAAAGAGACCCAATGGTCATAACATTATGATTAAGGGGACAATACTTCAAGAAGAAATAACACTCATTAACATATACTCACCAAACGAAAGAGCACCAAAATATATCAGACAACTGTTGTCCTCTCTGAAACAGACATCAGAGAAAACACATATGTAGTGGGAGACTTCAACACACCACTATCAACAATGGATAGATCAACAAGACAAAAAATAAGTAAAGAAACTAAAGCTCTAAATAAGGACCTAGAGCATTTGGGCTTAACAGACATCTATAGAACACTAAACCCAAAAAAAACGGAGTACACATTTTTCTCAAGCGCACACGGATCATTCTCCAGGATCGATCACATACTGGGCACAAGACAACATCACACAGATACACCAAGATTGAAAATCATACC